TCCTTGCACTTCAAATCCTGGCTGCCATGGTATCTTTCATGTGTATTGCAACAGCTGGACATTTTTTGAAATTTTAATAAGCCTTTAATAAAAGTGGTTTTCACTAGAGGAATGCCCTGATATAAATTACTCTGTCGTAACCATCATAAAAAAGGGTGTGTATATTTTATGAGTGTTTTCTGTAAACCAATCATTGGCTATTTTACTCCATTCTATTGTATGCATCATTTTTACTAACTTCTGCTCTTGTCATTATATATTAATTCCTTTAGTCTTCTTTCTTTGGGCTAGCTTTTCTGTCCTTTAATCACTGAGATTAATGTATGGACCATTGTTTTTCAAAGTTACATAATTTAGTATCTGTATTTCTAAGCTACGAATTGCCTTAAAGTATTCCTCTAACTTCTGCCCTCAAATTTTTGAGCTTTCATTTCAGAACATGTTTGGGTTTTTATTACAATTTTTTCTCTGATCTGGTAATTCCTTTGAAGCACACTTCTTAATATCCAACCACATAGGGGCTTTTGAAATTATTTTAAGTCATTGTTTATGGTTTTATTGCATAGGACATACACTGTGACTTCAGCCTTTGTTTTTAATTTGGAATTGTCATATTTACCAATATATAGTCATTTTGGTTTGGTTTGGTTAGTATGTGTTACAAAAATGGGTATTCTGTTGATTGGTGGTGTAGTAGACAGACTACATCTGTTAGCTCTAGTTGTTTACTTTTGATGACACCATTAAGTTTTAAAACATATCAGAATCTATTAAAGTTCTTCAAACCTTCTCCCTCTTCTCAGGGAAAACTCAGGCCCTTAGCAAACACAAATAACAAAACCATGGTTTGCCCCTTTCTATACTTACATGTTCATTTTGTCTGGTATTTTAAATACTTTATTTTTACTCTCACTGTTTATTATGATTGCTATATTACACCAGTAGCCTTCACTCATATTTGCCCACATGTTTATCACATTCTTTGTTTTTCCTTCCTTTTTGTGTCTCCTTGTGCTATTATTTTCTTTGTACTTGGAGTTCATTCTTCATTATTCCTTTCATGACGCTCTGCAGAAGGGAAGCTCAATTTTTGTATCTCTGAAGAGACTTTATTTCACTTCATTTTTGTAAGATGTTTTAATGCGCCATAAATGGTTCGCTATTGGTTGGTATTTTGTTTGTTTGTTTGTTTGTTTCAGAACACTGAAGCTATTGTTCAGTCTTTGGCTTTTATTGTTGCTTTTGAGAAGTTAACTGCTAGTCCAGTGGCTTCTACTTTTTCCTTGTGGTAATTTTCATAGTCTTTAGTTTTGGTTAAGATTACTGAGAATTGATCATGAAAAGAAACCATGATTGAAAAATAACTGTACTTCGACCCAGCAAATTGATAAACTGCACCAAATATGCAAGACCAAATATCTAAGTTCAGGGTTTTAACATTAGGTTCCTCAGAGCCTTATGTTCAGGGTAAGACCACAGAGAAATGTTTTAGTGTTAATTCCGTGTGAATTAATGTTTTCCAAAAATCAGACCACTGACTGTCCCTGGAACTATTCTCATTTGCAAATCCAACCGGATCCTTTCCAGACTACTGTTACTATCCCCTAAAGTTACCTTGTGACTACTCCAGCTGATGAAATCCTAAAAATGCCCTTTTCTGTTTCCCCCTATTATGTTGGAGACCCTATGCTCTCCTTGGATTAGCAAATTTAATACATTCAGCCTTTAACTATCCTTGACTTTCCTGGTAGTCGTTGAAGGTGCCAGACAGTCACAGAGACCCCAAGAGAGGTCTAGGCAGACCTCTCACCATTTTGGTTCTGATCCTTTGGCTCATTTAGTACCTCTTCCACTGAATCTGTTTGAGCAACCCTGTCCAGGGTTTGCACGTCCATGTTGGTGAGGGGCGCCTGGCACTTATTTACTGAATAGAGTTTATTTGTCCTAGAAATCAGGTCTCCCAGGACTTTTTCATTATCTCTTCACATTTATTCTTGTTTACTTTTTCCTTGGTGGGGGAGGGCATGGGGAGGAAAAAGATGGTCTGCCAAAGCTTTGCCACTAACCATCCTATTTGCCCATCTGCCTTTTGTCTATATTTTTGTGTATCTATAAGAATAAATCATGGGGTGGCTCAGTTGGCTAAGCGTCTGACTTCAGCTCAGGTCATGATCTCACTGTTCATAAGTTTGAGCCCTGAGTCTGGCTCTGTGCTGACAGCTCAGAGCCTGGAGCCTGCTTTGGATTCTGTCTACATTCTCTCTGCCCCTCCTTACTCGCACTTTTATGTGTCTCTCTCTCTCAAAAATAAACATTAAAAAAAAAAAGAATAAATCTTAGGGAAGGAATTATTATAGATTTAAAATTCTGTCTCCTTATTCAGCCACCAAGACTAATGAGAAAAGGTCTTTTTGACCAGCACCCATTCTAGGACCAATTATCTTGGATTGCTCAGTAAAATCTTGTAAAAGATTTTAAAAGAATCTTGCTCTGTAAAATCTTGACAAGACCTTTTCCAGTCTTGTCTATGTGTAGGAAATTGGTTGTAGGAGAAACTCTTCTTCATATATTCCACCTGTTGGAGGCTGCTGATCTCTTGTATCAGCAGATGGGTAGATTTCCCAAGGCCCTCGCTATCCCTGATATCGTCTGGTATCCTCATAGCTTCCTGGTAATCATTGACGAAATCCTTAGAAATTGATTCTGTGTTATATCTCAGTGAATCATATGACTTCTTTTCTGGTAACTCTGATTATATAATAAATTTGTTATCCCCTGCCCCCCCCCCCCCCCCCCCCCCCCCCCCCCCCCCCCCCCGCAACAAATGTGGATTACTTCCATCGCCAGCCAGCTAATCATTTTTGTGTCACCTTAGGTAAGGGATTGGTTATTTTGGAAATACTACCAGGGAAAGAGTATACTTGAGTCTTTTTTGCATGCAATCTTATGAAAACCTCCACCACCACCACCACCACCACTACCACATTTATTACAGATACCACACTATAGTCCTCTAGAAACTTTACAGAAGCAAATTATCTAAAAGATTAGGACAGCTGGGGTGCCTGGGTGGCTCAGTCAGTTAAGCGTCTGATTTCGGCTGAGGTCATGATCTCACAGTTCATGGGTTTGAGCCCTGTGTTGGGCTCTGTGCTGACAGCTAGCTCAGAGCGTGGAGTCTGTTTCGGATTCTGTATTTCCCTCTGTCTCTGACCCTCCCCTGTTCATGCTGTCTCTCTCTCCTTCAGAAATAAATAAAACATTTTAAAAAATGATTAGGACAGTTAATGCACAGGTAGCCCTGTGCGCCTCAGAATTAGGAACTAGACTGCATCCTACACTCAAGATGACCAGAAGAAAAGTACACCTCCTTCAAAATGACAGATGCCATTGATGGTGATGGGCTTATCATCTTGGCTGTTTTATATCCTCTGTGCTAGTTCAAGGTTTTAGATTATTGGTAGACAACCCTACATACACAGTACTACCATGGCAGCCTTCCTTGAATATTAGTATTGTCATGTTCCTTCATTCACTCAGACTGACACTAAGGGACAAACTCCTGAAACTGACCCAAGAGGAAATAGAAAATCTAAATATACTGACAGCAATTTTAAAAACTTCCCACAAATAAAAGCCCAGACCCAAGAGACTGTGCCAGTGAGTCTTCCAAATGTTTACAGAAAATCTGGTATCATTTTCCACAAAATTTACCAAAAAGTATAAGAGAAAGGAATATTTTCCAACTAATTCTATAATGCCAATATTAACCAGACACAGAACACAAAGACATCACAAGGAAAGGCCTATATTGACTATAGGCCAATATCTCTTATAAATATAGATGCAAAAATCTTTAACAAGGTACTAGAAAACTGAATCTGATAACATTTATAAAGGATTATACACCATGACTGAGTGGGATTTATCCCAGAAATGTAAGGTTTAAGACAAAAAAGTCAATCAATGCAATACAGCATAATAATAGAATAAAGGACAAAGTCCACATGATTGTCTCAATAGATCAAGAAAAAGCATTTCACTAAATTCAACACACAACAAACTAGGAAGAGGAAAAAACATATTCAATCTGACAAAGTCCATATAAGAAACCCTCAGCCAACATCATACCTAATGGTGAAAAACTGCATGCTTTCCTTCTAAGCACAGGAGAAAGATGAGGAAGGATGTCTGCTCTTGCAACATCCACACTTTACTTTTTTTAAATGTTTTTATTTTGTTTTTCAGAGAGAGAGACAGAGTGTGGGCAGGGGAGGGGCAGAGAGAAGAAGATGAATCTGAAATATGCTTCAGGCTCTGAGCTGTCAGCACAGAGCCCAACATGGGGCTTGAACTCATGAGCTGCCAGATCATGACCTGAGCTGAAGTCTGATCCTTAGCTGACTGAGTCATCCAGGCGCCCCACCATATTTTACTCCTGTAAGGACTCCCTTTTCCTTAGGTGATTATTTTCCAGCTTTCTCTGAAAATTTTGAAGGGTCTTGTTGACTGTTTTCTCTTTCCCTGTAGATTTACATATTTTACATTCCCCTAAACTAATATTAGTGGTGTTTTGGAAAGATCAGAAATAAATGCCTATTTTCAATATACACCATGTTTTATCAGAAGTCCAGTCTAACTATTAAAGCCAAAACCAAAACCATGAAGACTTTCCACTCATGATTCTAATGTACATCTAGGGCTATGAATACCACCATTCTTCCCATTTCTTCTTATAACACTCTATCTTTAATATTATACTCATTGGCATATGCTTTACCTTCTCTACTTATCTGTGAAATCTTAAAGGTGGGGGTCGTAATGTGTTTATTTTTCTATTCCACAATGCCTGGTATACCTATAAGATACTATTTTTTCTGTAAATGTTTGTAAATAAAACACATGTGTCTATAATGTTATTTAGATTTTGCTGATGGGGTACTAATACATCTTTATGATTACCCCCATTATCCCTTACTGTAAAAATGCAGCATACTTACAATGAATAGGGTAGTAATGGCCTGACACTGACTATTTGTGTTAACATAGCCACAAAAGTAGTTTTGATCTAGAATGAGACCAAAGGTGATGAGAATGATTCCAGCTGTTGCTCCCAAGGCACTAAGAGAATTCATTACTTGGGTCATCTTCACCTGAAAGAGATGAAGAACATAACACGCCGGCTATAGACAAAGCACTGGTGGGGAGACTCAAGAGAGGGTGTTAGTCACAGTCTTGCAATGCCGCTAAGCAGCTGTGTGATCATATGTGAGATGCTTCATTCCTTTGGGCTTCAGGCTCTCAGCCTGAATAATGGGATCCAGTGAGCTTTGAATAGTCCTTCTGTCTTCCATGATCTGCACCCAAGTTAACTCCCACTTAGTTGGGAAAGGGGTGCACAGCGAACAAAAGAGGTACTTAGGTGTTGTCTCATTGTATTGCATTTTGGTGCTCTGGTTAAAGTCATGACCTAGTTACATTTTTGTTTCATGACTCTAACAAAACATTGTATTTCTTTGCAATTTTTAGTTCTTCCTACAACTTCAAACCTACAGGGGACATCCTGGGCTGGAAATAATTTATTGGCTTGTTAATTAATGTCTCGCATTTTTTATTCTTTGAGAAAAGTAAAAATATTCTACTCCTCATTTATCTGTAAGTTAAAATCTTGCACTCATTAACACTGTATTATTTATTTTGAACTTCTCCTTATAAAGGTTTAATTAGGTTGTCTTCACGATATGCCTGTCATGTGAATTAATAAATGAGTGCCTGTTGAAATGTCTGGCAGGAGGTGGCACCAAAAATACTTACAAAAAGAATGAATGAGTGTGTCACTGGAATACTGCGGCCCATTTTACCATTTTGGGTATTTATTCTATGTTTCAGTGTTTTCATAAATAAGAAACTGGATGACCTAGAAAACTCTTCTGGCACCAGGGGCACCTGGGTGGCTTGGTTAGGTAGGTGTCCAACTTCAGCTCAGGTAATGATCTCGCAGTTTGTGGGTTTAAGTCCTGCGTTGGGCTCTGTGCTGACAGCTCAGAGCCCGGAGCCTGCTTCAGATTCTGTGTTCCCCTCTCTTTCTGTCCTTCCCCCACTTGGACTCTATGTCTCTCTCTCTCAAAAAAATTAACACTAAAAATTTTTAAAAAAGAAAAAGAAAACTCTTCTGGCAGTAGTGTTTTATGATTCTCTGGACAAAATAAAACCCCAAAAGCCATTGATTGGTATCAGCACTTGACAGTTTGTGGAATTATTGTGGTTTAATGATTCTCCAAATTCATTTTCAAGCCTAGACTTAATTATTTCAATGCTATACATTTTTAGGAAAGGAGAAATCTAACTCACCAGACTTGCTGTGGTTTTTCTTTCCAGTGCAACTAGGAAGGCTCCAGAATTAATGAACTATTAAAAAGAATAAATATCTTAGTGGTGGGCTTGTTTAGCTGATGCTCAAGAGGTCTCAGAGAATAGACCTCAAAGTGTTTGTTGTATATGCCTTCCTAATTCATACAATCCTCAAAGCAGCTAGCAGGATGAGATGCCTCAGATGATTGTCCACAAATAATTAGTGGACACAATACTGAACTAGAAATTAGCTTTAGTCTTAACTACCTATTTGAACATGAGATTTTTTTTTAATTTTGCTGGGCTTTGGTTTTCTCATCCATCTTCCTTTTATAGCTGTTGTGTACTCAGCTTTGGTATCATGACACACTGGTGTCAAATCAGTTCACAGCCAATAAGATCAGATTCTGTCATCCTTTTAAGAAACATCCTTCATGCCCACTTGCAAACCAGTGTGTTCTCTCAGCTAATAGACTGAGCATTCTGAAAAAAAATCCCCAGGATTTTCATGGAGGTAAATTGTATGTGGTAGCATCATTGCCTAGTAGAAACTTCAGATGGGATGACAGCACACCCGTTCTTAAGTTCCTTGTCCCACTGCCTGATATTTCTTCAGCCTCATCTCTTACCCTCACTCTCTGTGCTGAACTCTTACAGGTCTCAGAGTAGAAAGCATACTCCCATACCTTGAGCCTTTTCCTCATGGTTCGCCTTTGGCATGCAGCAAGGTATCCCTACCCCTAACACCCAACCATTCCCCGCTCCCTTCCTCTGTGTGTGCCCTCCCCCTGATTAACCACTGGTCCTTTAAAACTCCCTCAAGCTGGAAGTATCCCTGGGCAACCTCCCCTCCTTGCTGTGGGTGCCCTTCCTCTAGAGACAGCTTGAGTGTCTGTTATCACTCATCACACCATATGGCAATTATCTGACTCTCTACTTGGGAGACTCTGAGACTGAGAACTGCTTTTTCTATGAATTCCCACACACTGTCTATTCTCTGGCACTATACAAGGTCCAAAAATAATATTTATCGAATGTTATGAAATTGGATTAAATAAATTTCTCTGTGCAGCTCAAAGATACATCTGAGAAGCCTTCCCTGTTTCTTTACTTCTCTAAAGAGTCCACTGATCTTTCATCTCCACTTTCGTGAGCACTTTCTACACCTCTGTGGTATTATTAGTCATAGTACCCTGAAATGACCTGTTTACATGTTTGCTTTCATGGTAAACTGAGAGTCCTTTGAAGGAAGCGCCCATGTATTATTATTTTTGTTTGCTTATTGCCCCCCCCCGCTCCAGATTAATTGAGATATATTTGACATGCAGTGCTGTTTAGGACATACAGCATCATGATATGTGTTAAATATAGTGTGAAATGATTACAATAAGTTTACTTGACATCGATGATCTCATATAGTTACAACCCCCCAAAAAAAGAAAAAAAAAGAGGAAAAATAGCATTTTTCTTTGTGATAAGAACTCTTAGAATTGACTCTCTTAAAAACATATCATATAGCAATGTTGACTATAGTCATCCTATCATACATTGGTCTTATAACTGGAAGTTATATTTATTTATCTTATAACTGGAAGTTTGTGCATTTTGACCACCTCCCTCCATCCCTTCTCTCCTCACTCTCTGCCCCTGGTAACCTTAAATCTGAGCTCTCTTTCTGTGAGTTTTTAAAAAATTCTAAATATAAGCGACATTGTGTAGTATTTGTCTTTCCCTGTCTAACTTCTTTCACATAACACAATGCCCTCAAAGTCTAACCATGTTATTGCAAGTGGCAGAATTTTCTTGGTATTTTTATGGTTAAATAATACACACACACACACACACACACACACACGTACACATATATATACTTCTTTATCCATTCATCTGTTGATTGACACTTAAGTTGTTTCCATATCTTGGCTTTTTTGAATAATGCTTCTATAGACATGGCGGTGCAGATATATTTTTAACATAGTGTTTTCATTTCTTTTGGATATATTTCCAGAAGTGGAATTTCTGGATCATAGAGTAGTTCTATTTTTAATTTTTTGAAGAAACTATACTATCTTTCATAGTGAGGGTCCCTGTATTGTTAACTTTTGGATCCTCATTGCCTTCCTCTATATATCTGGTCTATAAAGATGGCAACTCATTTTGAATGAATGAATGGATAAATAACATCAGGACCCAAGGAAATGTTCGCAAAGGTACTTCAAAGCCCAATGATGGAACATCAGCAACTCTAATGAATTAATGGGGAAATAATTTCAACAGTTGATTTTTATTTTAACTTTTCAAAGCATACCATACAACTGAATGCAGCTCACTTTGTAATTAAGAACTCCCTAGTGTTCCTGTTGACATGGCCTCAAATTGAACTCAATTGCCTATACTCACCAAAACAGAGCTCCAGAATGGATATCCTGAAATAAATATAAAGGGGAACCTTGGGTATGGGTTTTCAAGGGTGAAAAGAAAAATGACTCCAAAAGAAAAGTTCATCAGTCCAAACAGGATCTGGATAGCCTGTAAATAGAGGAAAAAGTCATGGTAAGGAGAAAGCCAAATGGTAGGTTCCCGTTTCAAAAATGTGCACGATCCTCTTTTGGTTAAGAGGATTTGGCAATTACTTTCCTTATAAATAAGGGGAGGATAGTAGAAGCTCTTTTATAATGCTCCCTGTCTCCCCTCTTCCCCGCCCCCGCCATTTATGGCTCATATAAGATGCTACATTGAAATATGGTTTTTAATATTATCATTTTATTATTTCTAAATTATGTATTTATTCTTCTCAATGAGAGAAAGTAGATTGTGGTTATTTCTGTAACCCCCATAGTACTTAACATAATTTTTTACACATAGTTCAAACCATATTTGTTAAAGTAATATGAACTCTTTATTGGAAGTTTGAGTACCATTATATCTGAATAGAAGCAGAAGCAGTTTAGACTGTTGGCCCTTTCTGGCATGTCAGCAGGCCCTCTTTCTCTACTTTTTTGGTTTTTTTTTCTGGAAAAAAAATCATTTTTTTCCAATTTTCCATTCTTGAAGGCTTGGGATTGAAAAGACAAATAATTCATAAGTGGGGATGAGCACTGGGTGTTATATGGAAACCAACTTGACAATCAACTATTTGTAAAAAAAATAATAATAAAATAAAATTTAGGGAAAAAAAGATACAGGCACTATCACAGCCTCAAACATACTGAATCACATTATCTGAAAGGAGGATTGGTAAATCAAAAATAATTAATGTTCAAGAAATGGATAGGTCAGTGGATAGATGAGCATTTATAGTATTAAGGGGATTTTCTGCAAAAGCCCCACATATAAAAATACCATATCATGTTATCAAAATGAATTCTGAGTTCTGAGTGAGAAAATATAAAACTGTAGAACTCAGTACATATAGAACATGATCTATTGACTTCTACTTGATTTTCTTTTCCTTTTCTCTGAACTTGACTAGGAAAAAACTCCTTGTTGGTCATTTTGGAGATTTTTACTTTCAACTGTGACCTTGAAGAGCCCAGAGGATTATTTTCCTCTCCATAGAAATTTGTACATAGTTGGTTTAGGAATGTGATGCATACTTCCTGAATTGAATGGAAATAAAAGTTGGGATTAGCCTCTACCTTGAAACATTGCACCACCAGGTATTTTTTTCCCTTTCTTCTTCTCCCAAGCCCCATCTTAGTTCAGGCTTCTGAACAAAGTAATAGAACCCGTAACACCCTGCTGGGGTGGCTGATTAAGCCCCTGGTTCATTGACTGGGTGGCTTATAAACAACAGAAATGTATTTCTTATGATCCTGGAGGCTGAAAGTTTAACACCAGGGTGCTACACGGTTGGGTCCTGAAGTAGACCCCTCTGGGTTATAGGCTGGCAACTTCTCTTTTGTAACTTCACCTGGTTGAAAGAGAGCTGGCTGCCTCTCTGACCTCTTCTTATAAAGGCACTAATTCCCCTTATGAGAGTTTACTATCATGAACTAATTACCCCCAAAAGGTCCCACATCTAAGCACCATTACATTGGAATTATGGTTCCAACTATGAATTTTGGAAAACACAAACATTCAGTCCATAACACACCCTCAGTAGAGTATACTTAGGGCAAATCTTACTTACCCCTAAGATTTTCATTTTTGTGGTAAGTGATTTTGGAAAAGGGCTGCTAGATTCATAGACTGTAAGCTCCGGTGACTGAAATTCTGGAGCAGTGATCTCCGGAGGAAATAACAGAAACACAGGATTGTGTGAAGAAGTTGAATCCATGATGGTGTAGTTGATATTTTAAAATGAAAAAATGTTCTTGTTGATACTTTCATCTAGACCATGTTCTTCTCCTGTACCAAGGCTGTCTGGAGCACTGGTATTGTATGCTTTGTCTTGGAATTATAGAACCATAGAGTCATAGAGTCATGGAATCTCAGGGCTGGTTGAGATCTCAAGGTTAGTGAGTAAAATCCCCAGGACCTGCCCAGTAGTCCTAGTGCAGTCAGGAACTCACCGTGACCTTGGACAAGTCATGCCCGTCTCTTGGTTTCAGCCTCCATATATGCACATTGATCAGGCTGGGCTAGATGATCTGTGAGGACATTTTCCTTTCCAAATAAAGGAGTATTATGGACATTAATTCTAGTCCTCTTTCATCAGGAGGTCAGGTACTCAGAATTAATTAGTAATCCACCTCTCGAAGTATATAGTGTCTATTCAGGTTGTCACTTTGTTTTTGCCACTTATTTTATTAGCTTTAGCTGTGAACAAACCCCCTCAACACTGAGAGGTGTCGAGTAACTACCATTTGATTTTGCTTCCAATTCTGTGTGTAATGTGAGTGGTCTTACTGGTCTGGTCGAGCCCAACTCTTATCTGCCAGGTTTTCTCTGCATCTGTGGTCAACCACTGGGGTCACCAAAGCTAGGTGATTTAGTGCAGCCTCAGTCACTTAGCTGGCAGTTGGCAGACTCTTGGTTCTTAACTCGCAGATGTTTTCTTAACTTCTGCAAAATCATGTGTGCTAATCTCTCATTGACTTAAGCAAACTGCAGGGACAACTTATATTTAAGGGTAAGGAAACAGACTCCATTCCTTCATGGGAAGATCTGTACTGTCATATTGCAAGGACATTGATGAAGGGGGGAGAAAAATTGTACTCATTTATACACTTTCCCTTGTCATCCTCTGGTGTTTCCTTTTTTTTCCTTCTATTTCTTTCTTTTTTTTTTTTTTTTACAGTTTATTTATTTTGAGAGAGGCAGAGAGGGAGAGAACACGAACAGCAGAGGGATAGAGAAAGAGGAAGAGAGAGAGAATCCTAAGCAGACTCTGCACTGTCAGTGCACAGCCTGATTTGGGGCTCAAACTCACAAACTGTGAGATCATGACCTGAGCGGAAATCAAGGGTCAGTTGCCTAACCGACTGAGCGACCCAGGCGCCTCTGGTGTTTCCTAATAAGATCAAGTCTCCCTAAATTGAAAATCCTGATGTGACAGCCTCTAGCCACTTGGCAGTTATTACATACTAAAGTACTAATCCCCTTACAGTTTTTTTTTTTTGAATTTACTTTCTTGCATTCAGTTTTCCGGAACATGGAATCCTAATGGTGATCTTCCTTTATGGAATCTTTTGAGAGTCTCATGCTCTACTGAGTGAGCTGGCTGGCTGACTGTGGAAATCCTTTGATACTGGATTAGTGGTCTCTGAATTAAGCAAACTCTATTCCAGTACACTTCGTAATATACCTTTTCATTCTCATTACTCATGTTGTAGCTTTCCTCTAAACCTTTTCCAATTTCTCTCTCTCTCTCTCTCTCTCAGCATGGTGATTAGGCCAGTGCTATAATAGCCATGAAATGGTAGAAAGATAACCTGAAGTTTTGATTATGTTTAATTCATGCAAGCGAATTCTGGAGATGCAGTTCTGAAAGTCTCAACCCCTGGAACATAAAAACCTAGAATTAATTCCCAGGCTTTTATTTACTGTGTATGAAGTCTTGGCTAAGTGCATATTAACTTACATATTCCTATTAAGTTACTATTCATTAAAATATTGCATCTTTTATCTAAAATTGAGAATAAAAATTGTTACCTTATAGGGCTTTTGTAGGTGAATTATAAAACATCTGGCAGATAGTGGATTCTAAATAAATTGTAATTATAAGAATAGTAGCAATTAGCCTTATTTTTCATTATTGCTATTTTAATCATGGCGGCTAAATGCTTTGTTTTGCTTTATGTTTGCATTATTTCCGAAGTTTATTTTGGTTGATTATTTATCAGCTAAGTGTTCAATGTATTTTTGTGAGCTTAACTATAGGAACTTTAGAAATGGCCAGGAGTTATTTTACCTCATTTCTACATTTCAGGGTGGCCATGGAATGCCATGGCCCTCCTGATAATAAAGCACCTAGGCCCTTCAGCACATGAATAAGACAAATTTGTGCCCTGCCTTTCTTTTTTCCCATATCTTTCAATTTCTTTATTTTCCAAACTGCCAAAACCTCCACTTTCCGTGAGAAATGCTCAAGCTTTAAAGTGGTTTATGGAATAATATATAATATCCCTGTATCCCTCAATGTTCCCAAATCAAGCTTCATTTGAAGCCTCTTACTGCTGGCTTTTCCAGGGACATTACAATGATCCAAGCGACCCACCTTCTCTGATTCACAGTTACTGTGTCAGGTCTCTCATTCCCTCAGCTGCCCTAGTTCCTGTGCTAGAAAGTTCCACGAAAGGGCCCCTGTGCTCTTTCTCTTATCCCTTCCTTTCTGTAGCTGAAGCTCAACTTTGCTCTTAAATTTCTTGTCTTTCTCTCTGTTGCAAAATCATCCCCTTTTTAAAGATCCATATTCAAACTCTAGATAGTAGCAGCCAACTCCTGTGACTAGATGTCAATCCCTTGGGCATTTCCAGATCCTCTAGTTTCCTCTTGCTCTTTAAATTACAGAGATCTCATCCCGTGAATGATGGTAAAACCTAATGTCCCTCCCAGATATATCTCAGAATCCAATTACCCAGCTGGATATGAGGGAAGGGGATTATTTTAACCAGGGACTAAGGGGCAAATAAAATCATTGCCCAGAACATCATATAAGTAAAAACATACAATATATCAGAAACTAAAAAGAAAGCCCTTAGTCAGAAAGTAAGAAGGATACTGAAATGTAGGGTTTCTTTCTTTTTATATTTTATATTATTTATTTTTTTAGAGAGAGAGTGCAAACAGGAAAGGGGCAGAGGGATGGAGGGAGGGACAGAGAGAGCGAGAGAGTCCCAAGCAGGCTCCATGCTCAGCATTGGGCCGGTTGCGGGGCTCCATCCCACGACCCTGGGATCATGACCTGAGCCTAAAACAAGAGTTGGACACTCAACAACTGAGCCACCCAGGTGCCCCTGAAATGTAGGATTTCTTAAACCAGTAATACAGTAAGTATATCTAACAGAGAAGCTCACGGATGACAAACACTGTGTTCCAACCTTTCAAAGATAAACTTTTCTCATATTTCCCTCTATCATATGAGCAGACAACCAAAAATAACTCGAAATAATGAGGAAATGTGAAATATAGAAACTGAAAGGAAGAAAAGTCAGACTAAAGAGAAGAAAACTTGGCAAAAAAAATCCATTAATATACTCAGAAATGTAGGAAGAAATATTGCATCCATGAAATGGGAAGAGAACACAATACAGTGGAAACAGAGAACAAATAGATCTCTTGAAAATGAAAATAAGCATTGTCTGGGTGGCTTGGTCGGTTAAGCACCTGATTCTTGTTTTGGCTCAGGTCATGATCTCACGTGTTCATCGGATTGAGCCCCATTTTGGGCTCTGTGCTGACAGCATGGAGTCTGCTTGGGATTCTCTCTCCCCCTCTCTCTCTCTACTCCTTCTCTACTCACGGGTACTTTGTCATGCTCTTTCTCTCTCTCCTCTCTCAAGAAATAAGTAAACCTTAAAAAAAAAGAAAGAAAAGAAAACTGATAGCCAAAAAGAACATCTCAGTAAAAGTGTTGAGATGTTAAGTAGAGAAAATTAACTAGAATGTAGGGGGAAAAAAGATCAAGGTAATGTAAAATAAAGAAAATATAATAGTAATAATAATAATAATAATATGGCTAGTTCAGGGCATTCAATAGCAGCTACAGAAAGAGAAAAGAGAAAAAACAGGAGAAAATCACTTTAAATTTTACAATTAAATACTCAGAAGAACTGATGAAAATAGAGCCACATGAATAAATTTCAGTACAGTTGGTGCAAACAAAACACCCTTTAAGATTCCAAGAGGGAAAAAAACCCGAGTCACACCTAAAGGGCGAGAAAGCAGAATGGCTTTGGACTTTTCAAAGCAATTGAATTGAGAAGACAATGAAGACTTAAACTTTCAGAAGAAAGAGCTGTTCTATTAAAGAATTTTATAGCTAAGACAAACCACCAAACTTTCGAAGATACCTAAATTGAAACATTTTCAGACATACACAGTTTCCAAATTTGATCTTCCATGTGCTTTTTCTCACAGGGCCGCTGGAAACATGGAAGGGTGTTCAAACTCATCAGCCATTTGGGAAAATGTAAATTAAAGCCACAAAAATAATATCACTACAAATTTATTAGAACAGTTAAAACAGAAAAGTGATAATACTAAATGCTAGTGTAGATGCAGAAGCAACCTAAGGATCCATAGAAAGATGAATGGGTAAAGAAGATACGGTGTGTGTGTGTACACAAACATACCCGCATACACAAATACTAGGAAGCCATAAAAAGTGAGATGAGATCTTACCATTTGTAACAACATGGATGGACCTAGAAGGTCTAATTATGCTAAGTGAGATAAGAGCGAGACAGACAAATACCATACGATTTCACTCATATGTGGAATTTAAAAAACAAATGTACAAACAAAGTAGAATCAGACCTATAAATACAGAGAACAAACTGATGGTTGCCAGAAGGAAGGGGGTGAGGGGGACAGGAAATGAGTGAAAGGGAGCAAGAGAAACAGGCTTCCAGTTACAAAATGAGTAAGTCATGGGAATAGAAGGCATAGCATAAGGAACATAGTCCTTGATACTGTAACCTTGTTGTATGGTGGCAGATGGTGGCTGTATTTGTGGTGAGCGCAGCATAACATATAGAGAAGTTGAATCACTGTGTCACATGCCTGAATGTAATGTCACATTGTATATCAACTATACTCAAGTAGAAAAATTTTTTAATCAATAAATGTGTTATACCCATATATGGCAAAAGAGTGGAAAAGTTGACTGAAGTGTTTTGTTTTGTTTTGTTTTGTTTTGTTTTTCATAGCAAAGGAGGATAAGAGAGAAATAGGTAAAATATAAAGAAAGGCTGTTTGAAAACTCCAGAGATAATAGAAAAGAGATTTGGGGATGACAGCAGTGTTCCAGTCATGGAGGGTGAGTAGGCTGGGTTTCTCCAGTAGAAGTTCCTTCAAAGTGATAAAATTGATATGATTTGTAATATGGATCAGTGTATTAAGAAATTTAGAAAACTGGGGAGTTTGAAGTTGAAAAAGGAGTAAAGAAGAAAAAAAGCAAGCAAGCAAGAAAAGAACACCATTCCAAAGGAAAATACACTGCAGGAGAAAGAATAGTTTATTAAGTGGCTCAGTTCTGGTGGCATATATAGTTATAAAGAGATAAATAACGCATGTCTCTGTGCCCAAACTATGAGTTTACAGAGAGAATGGAGGATGGGGAACAATTATGTGTGTCAGCATGGTGGGGGGCGGGGGTTGGAAAGAGGAAAGTAAGTTAAATTTTGATCTCCCACAATGAGGAGATCAGGGCTTCTTAACTTTCTTCACATAAAGGCAATCACAGAAAATGATATGTGTCTGGTGCATGGCTGAATTTAGAGGTATTTAGCTCCACATGGAGCTACTTGTTCCTCAAGATAATTTTGTATGACTCGTTATTTTTAAAACCATGTGAATATAGAACTGTGGTTATTGGAACCCTAGAAAATGACTACTTTGGTTGCATGTGTGACAGGTCAAGTTCATAAAGCAAAAGGAAGAATAGTGTATCAACATATATTGAATCATCTTTCTTCTTCCTTAATTGTGCATCAGGGATGTGATTGGAAGAATTATGGCACCCAAGAAAATTCCATGCCCTAATTCCCAGGACTGTGAATGTGAGACAGGATACCACACCCCAAAATAGGTTACCTTGAATGGCAAAAGGAACTTTACTAGGGAGATCATCCTAGATTATTTGAGTGGGTCCAGTGTAATCTTGGGACCCCTTATAACTACAAGCAGGAGAAGTTTGAGAAGGATTTGACAAATATTGGTTGGGCTGCAGATGGAGGGGGCCACATGAGAAGAAATGGAGGTGGCTTCTAGGAGCAGAGGCCAGCCCCCAGCTGGAAGCCAGCAAGGAAACAGGGTCCTCTAACCTCAGAATTGAGGAGCTGGGTTCTTCCAGTAAGTCTTCCAACTTGTGGAGGATCCCACCTCTCAGGACCACAAACCTGGCCAGTACTCTAAGTTTAGCCAAGCAAGCCTCTGAGCAAATAATCTAACCAGGCTGTTTACGACTTCTGACGTACAGAGACAGCTAATAAATTTGTGCTTTTTTAAGAAGCTACGTGTGTGGTAATGTGTTACACATCAATCGCTAATACGAGGAGGGAAAGGTAAGGCTGTTACCGTTTCGAAAGGTTTCTTTTCCTTAGTGGTTCTATTACTCCGAGTAGGCTAACCTCTATGACAAATAATTCCATGCTTGCTTTGGCCTCATACCATAACAGTTTTCTCTTTTGGGTCACAGTCCAACTGAATGTTCAGCAATGGACCTAATTATGCTGTTATTTATGGACTGGGCTCAGATATTCACACATCTTAGCATCGTCTGGGTCCTGGAGTCTCTGCATCTGGCCAGTACAAGAGGGAGGAGAGACTATGAAAAAAAAAATACAGGGGTTTGAAGGGCCACACCTAGGGATGGTGAACATGGCCTCACTGACATTCCATTGGTGGTTACCTTGTCACCTACTCAGATCCCTCTCACCTGCTGTCATCCATAAGTGGGAAATTTAATCTGGCAAATGACAGTGTAAGCAGTCAGCTCATTTTCCCCCCACGGTCTTGGGAAACTGTAGGTATAAGGTAGTATTTGAAAATCAACTCTTCCCGAAGGACAAATACCATATGTTTGCACGTATAGGAGGATTAGGAGGAACTTGACAGAGGACCAAGGGGGAGAAGAAGGGCGGAAATGGTGGGGGAAAGGGAGAGAGGCAAACCATGAGAGACTCTTGAATGCTGACAAAAACTGAGGACTGATGGATGTGGGGGGGAGGGGGGGATGGGCATGAAGGAGGGCACTTTGGGGATGAGCACTGAGTGTTATGTAGAAACTAATTTGACAATAAACTATTTGTAAAAAAAAAAATAAATAAATAAAGTCACCCTCAATTGGTTGGAAAAAAAAAAAAAAAGAAAATCAACTCTTCCCAATTTTACCAAAACAAACCTAACCTAAGTTAGGAGTAAGATAGTTAAAAAAAATAAAAATAAAAACAAAAAAAACACACACAAAATTAGATTTCCTTTAAGTACATCATCAGTGCTCTGGCTCCCTAAAGCCTTTTCACCCTGTCTTATAAAGAGCCACTTCATACATTTCCATTCCTTTATTGGCTCCTAAACACATTTGATTTTGTCAGCTCTAGACTCAAACTCACTGATGGGACAGTACAAGGTATCTCAAAAAGGAGAGCTATGGGAGAGATTGCCTTTGAAAAGCAGAGAAAAGTGGAATTCTTGCAGAATGGAAAGTTGCATCTGGGCCCCAGGGGGCATTCAGGACTTCTGACTTGCTCCCTAGAATCCTTCTCGGTGGGATGGAAAAACCCCTCAGAGGATGATTTTGAACGTTCTTCCATTTTTACATTGTAAGTCCAGACCCTAGACACTGTATTTTTGCGATTTTGGAAAAAGATCCTATATTCCAAATGTGGTACAGAAGCATCAAATTCACAGGACACTTAGGGTCTAATATGAACCAAAACAATGAGCTTCTCAGTGGCAAGTGGTGTGGAGCAGCCACTGTGACAGGGATCACCCCTCCAAGGACTTATACTATTTTAAGACCTCAAGACCTTATGGTGCATAGTGCATCAATGTGTGTGTGTGTGTGTGTGTGTGTGTGTGTGTGTGTGTGTGTGTTGGATGGGTATGGAGAAAAATGGGCAAAACTGACTGCATGAGTTGGAGTCTCAAAGAATATGATGAAGAATTGCAAATATCTATTTCTTGAACACTCGAGTTTGTGGACTGAAACACATCACATAAGCACCATGTAAACATGTGCTAATAGGGGGGGGATTTGTTGGTATTATTCAGAGTCAGTTGAATACAACTCTACCCTTCCACAGCCTCTCTTTCTCTTCCTTTTGTCTCTCTGCAGAAGGGGATCCCTCCCCTCCATGCCTATGCCACCTGTTTTACCTCTCCCAGTTCACAATCACACACCTCTGGCCCACCTGGTTGTCCCTGTGGGCCCCTGGAGACATCTCTGTCACTCTGCAGCCCAGACTCTTGGAATTCTAAGTCCTCTGACCTCAATACTGCTGTTTGAAGGACAAGGTAAGTTCGGGTCCCCCTACTTCTCCACCATGTTGGATTCCTCTCCAGAATTAGTTGAATACAAAGTGGCAACCATTTAGGAACTAGAGGCCACTTCAGGTAGGGACCCGACCAAGGTTGAACCTCCTTGGGAAGCTTGGGAGGCTAATCCTTACTACAGAGGTGAAGGCAACAAGAAGCAGATTGCCAGTCGCTCTGGCTCTGTGCCTCATTCTGGTACACATAACTTCACTCGCCTCTAGGTGGAGAGTTTATGTTTTTAAAAATGACTGAATGCCTTTTAAAAAAGACGTGAAAGCAAGTCTTTTGTGTGGGATTCTTATGAAGACACAGATAATGACACAGTACGGGGTGACTCAGAGGATGGGAGAGAACTACAAAAGTGTGTGAGATTTCAGAAAAGAAGGAAGTTGGAGAGAGAACCCTGGAAATATTTATCGTAGACTTTCTGAAATGGGAAGAAAAATGCAGAAGCCAACAAGTGAGATAAAGAGAAAGGAGGGTTACCAGGTCCAAATGTATCAAAGAAGTTGAGGAGAAAAAGATTGAAAAAATGTTTTTAGATATGGAGGATTCAGGGTAACTGATGGCTTTTCACCAGAAAATTTGGCCATCAAAGGTCAATTTTCTTTGACCATTGAGGATGAAATTATATGTCATGAGAGTTGTTAAATTAGAAGCGAGTACAGGGCTATGGAGGGGAGCAGAAGTTCACTGAGTATATCATGGTCTGTCCTACATTCTGTTATGACATCTTCATCCCTGCCCTTCCCTGCCTCCTACTTCCCTGTCTCTAAATACACTTTATTCTCTCCCTCTCCATTACATTCTGTACTCATTGCCATATTATGCCTCATTAATAACTAGGCAAACTTAGAATATATATCCTCAACATAGATATGCAGAGCAGGGAGTAAATTGGGTGATTGGAATCAGCAAACCAGGGGAGTGGCGGGATTGGTTTTTATTTCCCACAGATTCTTTTGGTTCTTGCGCCTTTTGAGAGCCTACACAGACTTCCTTCTGGTTGACTTACTGAGCCCCTGTAATACACAAGAGTGAGAAACAAGGAATATTAGCACTGTAGCAAAGCAGGTCCATCAAGTATTAAGCTGTAAAATAGAAATAGACTCATAGACAAGAGTCTATTTCTCTATGGTGGTTGGGGTGGGTGGTGTGCAAAATAAGTGAAAGGGATTAAGAGGTACAAACTTCTGGTTTTAAAATAAATAAGACATGGTGATGAAAAATACAGCATAGGGAATATAGTCAATAATATTGTAATAACTTTGCATGATGGTAGGTGGTGACCACACTCGGCCGTGGTGAGCATTTCATAATGTATAGAATTGTCAGATCACTATGAGGTACACCTGCAGCCAATATCATATGTCAACTATCCTTCAATAAAAACGTAGTAAGCTATAAAATGAATTGGTGATCATAAGTTGAAACACTAACACCGATAACAGCGTTTAAATGTGAATTACTCCTTCAAACCCAGAAAATTCTGATACGGTGTTAATATTTGTTGTCATTTTATTTTAATTAAGGACAAGTGTTTTGCATGCCCTTTGTTTTTTGGTGGGTGAATAGGTAGCAACCATACTTGAGAACATAGGTTGGAGGAGACTATATTGTTTTTCTTTATTTTGGTCCCGTACTTGGGAGCACTGTGGAATTTGGGTAGATTTTCCATGTTAGTCAGAGTCCTCAGATTGCTGTTGGTCTTTTGGGGAACATGATGGAGAAGTTAAAGTTGTATCTTCTTGGTATGAAGTTGAGCAAATTGAAATGTTTTTTCGCACATCTTGTTCTGAATTTATATCAGACATATAGGCAGAATGTGCGTCTTGGATTGAGCTTTGACAGGACGAACAGCAATCTGGCTTTTTATCTTCTGACTGATGCTTGTGTAGGTTTTGGTATTTGATGCTTTCTGGTTTGCTGTCTCTTATTTGCATGGTTTCTGTTTGCATACCTTCTTTTTGGATATCTGTGGACTTAAGGTCTTGTTGTTTCTCCTCTTGATACTGACTGTCTTCCAATGGAATGCTTTGTAATTGCTGATGTCGAGTTATGATGTGCACATTTTGGCCTTCTTGGTGTAGAGTTTTCTGCTTTTGGGATTCTTTCTCTAATAGATCTTGGGTTTGCCAGACTTGGGATTCCCACTTCAGAGAATGTGGAATTTCAAATTCCAGATCTTGTACTTTCCGCTCTTTGTTCCTCCAGCTTTGACTTCTCCAGTCTTGGGATTGTTGGCTTAAAGATTGCCAAGCTTGGTATTCCTGGATCTGGGATTGCCAGTTTTGATGTAGCTGCTTTAGGGACTTCTCTTGGGCCTGCAGGTTTTCAACTTCCTCATATTGGGGTTGTTGCTTGGGGGGTTGCTCCATATCAGTCTGTTGAGCTTTATCTTTTCTGTCCTTGCGCTGTTCCTTTGGGGATTTCCCCTTTCGGACTTTCAGATCTTCAGCTTGCTCATGTTGGGTATGCTTCCTGGGAGGTCGCTCCATATCAGTCTGTTGAGCTTTATCTTGTCTATCTTTGGGTTGTTCCTTTGGGGGCTTTTCCTCTTTGTCCTGTTGATACTTACGGTGTCTACTTGGGGATTGTTGCCTTAGGGATTGTTCCTCTGAGACCAGCAGCTGGTCTTTAGCTTGCTGATCTGAGGACTTCTTTCTGGTTTCCTGAACTTGGGTTTGCTTATCTATGGAGTGCCTCTTTGGGGATAGCCAGTCTTTGATGTGCTGGTCTAGGGATTTCTTTTTTAGGGGTTGCTGGCCTTGCGTTTGCGGGTCTGGGGGGTTCTGTTTTGGAGTTTGCTGGTCTTTGTTTTGCCACTCTAAATCATGTGACTTTAGGGATTGCAGGTTTTTATTTTGCCAGTTTAGGAATTGCCACTTTGAGGATTTCTTGCTGTGGAATTCTGCCTCAGATTTCCAGTCTTGGGTCAGTAATATGACTTCTGATTGCATGTCTTTATATGATAAACGTGCAAGTTGCTGGGTTTGGTGTTGCATATCTAGGGTGTGCTGATCTAGACGTTCCATATTAGAGGACTGTGCTGCATGAAAGGCTGGGGCATCCAGTAGCATGGGTTGTGCTGGCAGAGCTTGTGGTTGGGAATACAGATCTTGGTAAAGTATGCCTTCAGATGGTGGATTTGGGGATAGCATGCCTTGGGATAATGTGTTCTGGAATGGCATGCCTTGGGGTGCTGCATATTGAGATGACATGTCGAGGGACTGTATATCTTGGGATGGCATGTTCTGGGATTGCAATTCCTGTGATGGCATGTCTTGGTATGGCATGTCTTCTGATGTCAGGCCTTGAGACTCTGTGTCATGGGATGGTGGAGGTGGAGATGCCTGGACTGGCAGAGCCTGGGGTGGTAACACTTGGAGTTTTTTTATAGAACTGGATGGGAGAACTTGGAGTGGTGAAGTTTGGGACTGCAGCAGTTGGGTTGGCTGTTCTGGGTGTTGGGCCATAGCAAATTGCAGGTCTTCATCTTTCAGTGGTTTGACGTATGGAGTCTCTTCTGTGGGCATTTCCTGCAACTTGGGAGGCAAAGATTTCAGCTTAGGTCTTTCCTCATAAAGTTTTGAGGGTGGAGGGATACTTTTCTGTTGTTCTTCTAGCATGGACACAGAAGATGTGTAGTAACTATTACTACTTCTCCTCCTCGAATGTCTGAAGGCTAAAGGATTTCTTGTGATTCTTAACTTGAAGAAAGTATAGCCTCCAATGAAAACAGGTTGTATGTTTGTTGTTGAATCAGTAGTGGAGGACTGTTCTTGAAGCTCAAATTGTACTACAGCATTTTCTTCAAGGACAGATAGTTCACTCTCTTCAGTGACATCCGAAGACAAGAAAAATACAATCTAGAAAACCAAGGGGGATAGAAAACATCAATGTAATAATCACCATTGATGTTCTTTTCTTCTTGAATTCCCAAATTATTTTTCACTTCTGCCTTAAGATAGTAGGTAGGACACAGCATCTACACAAGGAATTATAAAACAAATACCAGTACTAGCCACTGCTGTTACCATCAACTCATTGGTTTTATGTTGGACAAATCATCACTCACTATTGTCTTAAATATTGAAAAGGAGAATTTGATTAAGATTGTCTGAAGTATTCTTCCCATACTTAATATTATAAAGCTTCTGAGAAATTTAAAGTAATCCACTCAACATTCATATATTCAGTTTTATAATGACTTACTGTCCACCTACTGGGTGAACTAGTTACTAGAGATCAAAAATAATTGGAAGTGTGTTTTGTCTATAAGGTGCTTGCAATTATTGGTATACCAAGATATAAATAGAAAGCAATACGGTTTAGCAAATGTTATTATAGAAATAGTAAGCGCTTTCTGGGAATGTAGAAGATGACCTAATTCTGAGTGCCAGGAAATGCTTCGTTGAGGAATATGTTTGATCAATGTCTTATGGGTGAGCAGGAATTCCTTAGGCAAAAAGGTAAGATGAAGCAAGATAGGAGTCACAATCCAGGTAGAAGAAACAGTGGGTCCAAAAACACAAGGCTATGATGAAGCATAGTGTGATGGGAGATGATATACAGATAATGTTAGATGGTATGCCAGCTGCTATAAATCGAATGTTTGTGTCCCTCCAGATTTATATGGTGGAACCTAATCTCCATTGTGATGGTATTTAAAGGTAGAATCTTTGAGGAGGGATTAGTTTGTGGGTGGGGCCCTTGTAAATGGAATTAGTGCTTTTATTAAAGGGACCCCCCAAAGAGTTCCCTTGCCTCTCCCTCCTCGTAAGGACACAGTGAGACTACCAGCTATGAATCAGGCAACAGGTTCTCACCAGACTCTGAATCTACCAGTACCTTGATCTTGGACTTCTCAGCTTTCAAAACAATGAATAATACAGTTTTGTTGTTTAAGCTACTCTGTCTTTAGTATAGTAGCCCAAATGGACTAACATGGAAATTGATGCCAAGAAGTAGGAATACTGCTGTAACAAATATCTAAAAATGTGAAAGCACATTTGGAAATGGGTGATGTTTGGAGGCTGGAGGAATTTTGAGGTACATACTAGAAAAAGCTGTTATTGCTATGAATGAATCATTAAGGGCAATTCTGGTGAGAGTCCAGGAAGAAGAAAGGAGAGCTGTAGATAAAGCCTCGGTCTTCTTAGAGAACACCTAAGTAATCCTGAATGAAATGTTGGTGGGAATAGGGGCAATAAAGGTCATTCTGATGAAGTCTCAGACAGAAATGAGAAATACGTTGTTGGAAACTGGAAGAAAGATGATCTTGGCTATAAAGCGGCAAAGAACTTGGCTGAATTGTTTGTGTCCTCATGTTTTGTGGGAGGTAAACTTGCAATACTGAAGGAAATGATGGAATTTCATGTAGTAAATAATGAATGTTATTAATAATGAATGATAAATATCTTATATAATGAAATTTAGCTGAAACTTTTTTTTTTTTGAGAGACACACACACACAGAGCATGAGTGGGGGAGGGCAGAGAGAATCACAAGCAGGCTCCGTGCTGACGACACAGAACCTGATGTGGGGGTCAAACCCATGAACCATGAAATCATGACCTGAGACCAAACCAAGAGTCGGATGCTTAACCATCTGAGCCACCCATCCAGGTGCCCCTAGCTGAAGCTGTTTCTAAGCAGTGTTGAAAATGAGGCTTGTCTCCTTCAGACAGCTAATGGTAAGATATGAGAAGAGAGAAATTGAATTCTTTTTTTAAATCTTTTTATAGTTTATTTTTGAGACAGAGAGAGAAAGAGCACGAGTGGGGAGTGGTAGAGAGAGAGAGGGAGATGCAGAATCTGAAGCAGGCTCCAGGCTCTGAGTTGTCAGCACAGAGCCTGACGTGGGGCTTGAACCCACGAACCATGAGATCATGACCTGAGCTGAAGTCAGATGCTTAACCGACTGAGCCACCCATGCGCCCCGAGAGAAATTGAATTCTTAAGCAGAAAGAAAGCAGGACCCAGTCTATCCATATTGAAAAAAAAAGAGAGAGAGAGAGAGAACACTAAGAGTATGACCAAGTGACTTGTTTGATAAAGAAATTGATATAGATCAGCCATCTCAACAATAACAAGAACCTATTCTCCAGACAATGAAAGAATGACACCAAATGGGATTCCGAGAGCACCAGAGCTGGCACTCCTGCCACGGGCACACAGGACAGGAGGCCTGGGAGAAGAATGGTTTCAAAGGCTAGGACCATCTCTCTGGTTCAAGCCAGGCCAGAATGCCCCCTCCTCCCAGTGCCTCAGAGGTGGGCGCTGCAGAAGGCTGCTGCTGCATGGGCTGCACCCAGCTGAGCTATGGGAGTGTGACCCCCTCCACCGAGGCTTCAAAATCTGCCGAGTGACAGAGCACGGGCTTGGGATCCCACCCAGCAGAGCCACAGGCATGGGACTTCAGCCTGGGAGAGCCACAGGGCCCAGGCAGAGAGCTGCTGCAGGGGCGGAGCTCCCGTGGAGAGTTACTGTGGGGCCTTGGTGCTGAGCCCTGTGTGCTTGGCGGCCAGAGCATCGAGCCAAAGAGGATTACTCTGGAGCCTCAAAAAATCTGTTTGCCCTGTTAGATTTTGGGAATGTCTATCCTATGCTTGTCACAATACTGTAGTTTGGAAGTTTGGTCTCATCAAGTATTTGGTTTCATAGGCTCATAGCTAGGGCGGAATTTGCCTCAGGATAGATCAGACATTGAGTCTCACCTCCTGTCTGATGTAGATGATATTTGGATGAGACTTCAGACTTAGCCTTTAAAGTTAACGCTGAAACAAGATAAAGACTTCTGGTGCTACTGGGGTGGAAGTAATATATTTTTCATGTGAAAAGGGGGAATGGGCAGGGATGGAATGCATAGACTGAATGTGCCCCCTCTAAATTTATAATTTGAAACTTAATCCACAGCATGAGGGTGTTTGGAGGTGGGACCTTTGGGAGGTGATGAAATCATGAGGGTGAAGCTTTTATGAATGAGATAAGTGCTTTTATAAAAGAAGCCCAGAGAGCATCCTTGTCCTTCCCACCATGTGAGCCCACAGTGAGAAGATGGCATCTGTGAACCATCTGGCATCCACTAGGCCTGAATCTACTGGCATCTTGACCTTGGACTTCCAGCCTCCAAAACTCTGAGAATTTTTTGTAGTTCGAGCCCCCCAGTCCATGGTGTTTTTGTTATAGCAACCTGAAGGTACCAAGACACTAGGCCAGGAAATTTGGGCTTTCCTTTACAGGTAAATCAAATCTATGGAAGCTTTTTAAACAACTAAGCGACAGCATCTGATAGAATCTTTGGCCAGTGCTTCCCAGTCTTTACTTTTTTTTTTTTTTTTTTTTTTGAGAAGGGCTGTCATTACAGACCAGTCCGCCGAGTTTTGTCATACTGTGTCCTTTCTAAGGTCATCCATAGAGTCAGAATCGACTACTTGTCTGTTTGATAAAGTGATTGGAACTCTGAGTGGTTAAATGACCTAATGATGGTTACCTCTTTGATTGATGGCAGGCCTCAAATACGACTGCCACATTCTCTTATATGACACATTGTCATTCCCTACCCTCTAACCTGTTTTCATATCTTTATTTTATCACCATGGGAGGGGTATTTATGTGAGTATAAATAGTACTTTAGGGGAGATTTCTGCATTTTTACTTACCATAAAATTTGTATTTCATTTGAATTGTAATTCTCTTTCATTTGTTAAAACAATGATCTGGTGGCATGAATTGTAATTGCTTTTACTTTATTCAAGATTCTAAGTGTATGATTTTAAATTTGCTCATCCCTAATGGTAACAATGATTACCAGGTGCTGGACAAAATTCTAAAGTCGTCTCAAGTAATTATTATGACATCCTTATGAGGTTATTTTCCTTCCTTTATAACTGAGAGAGCTGAGATTCAGAGGTGTTAAGTAACCTGACCATTGTCACAGAACTATTAACTGGTGAGGCTAGGAGTCATACACTGCAGTTGAATTCTAGGTCCTGCACTTTTCTCTCTACTCTAATCTACTCTAGTCTAATCTCTAGTATATGCTTCTTTATAATAATGACTTCAATTACACCTTACTACAGAGTGGCTGTTCCTGAAGACTATATAAAATAATGTTTTGGGCACAGTGGCTTGAGCAGAGAAGTTGTTGGGTAAATATTCAGAGTTTACTTTCTCTTTCCTCTTCTTGGGATCAGGGTGCATACTATATAACATCTTTGCATTCTCTGTTGTACTTTGCACATTGCTATGCCACTAAAAAAAGCCCTTTCATGGGGGCGCCTGGGTGGCTCAGCTGGTTAAGTGTCTGACTCTTGATTTCGGCTCAGGTCATGATCTCATGAAATGTGAATAATCAGTAGATAATGGAAAGTAGATGCAGAGACATAAACTAGAAGTTACGAGGGGCTGGAAGGAGGAGGAAAGGGGGAGATATGTTTTATGGTGCAGAGTTTGTATGGGGATGATGAAAGAGTCCTGGGCATAGATAATGGTGATGGTTACACATTATGAATGAATTTAATGCCATTGAACTGTATACTTGTAAGTGGCTAAAAGGATAAATAGAATGTTATGTATATTTTGCCACTAAAAAAAGGACTACTATATGAAAGCTACAGAAATTAAGACAGCATGGAATATGTGAAAGTATAGACCTATGGATCAGGGGGACAAAATAGAGCACCCAAAAGAGACCTTCTATAAACATGAAGTCAGTTGATTTTCAACCAAGATGCCAAGGTAATGAGGGAAGACACTGCATTTTTGACAAATAGCATTGGCATAGTTAGTTATCTCCACGGCAGGGGTGCATGAACTTCTTACCTCAGAGCTATATAATATCTAAAAGTTAACTTGGAATCTGTTAAAGATCTAAACACAAAAGCTAAAACTATAAAATTCCCACAAGAAAATAGAGACAAAAGTCCTTATAGTCTTCTAGGCAAAGCTTCGTTGGAACACTAAAGGACCAACCAAAGAATAAAATAAATCACAAGTTGTTATTTGAAAGAAACTATTAAGAAAATGAAAGGGCAAGCAAAGGCTGGGAAGAATAGTAGCAATACATATATCTCAAAACAGGGCTTCTATTAAGAATCATTTAAGTTCTTATAATTCAATAAGATAACGTAATAAAAGTTGGCTAACAGTTTAAACAGACACATCTTAAAACAAAAGGGACGATAAACACATAGAGTGTCATCTCCTTTTACCATCAGGGAAATGCAAATTAAAGCTACCATGAAATTCTATGACATACACACTAGAATAGAAAAATTATGAACACAGCTGGCAATCCCAAGTGTTGCTGATTATGCGGAGCAGCCATACCTCTCATATATTACTGATAAGAATGCAAAGTGATACAGCCACTTTGGAAAACTGCGTGATCCATTCTTAGAAAGTTAAGCATCCATTTGCCGTGCCATCTAGCAACCAGATCGTGGATTTGAGAAATGCAAAAGGGAAATGACACATTATGTCTACACAAAGGTGTGAACTCAAATGTTCAAGCAGATTGTGGCATGCCCTCACATAAAAGGAATAAAGTACCGATACATGTGACAACGTGGAGGAATCTCATGAATATGCTGCTTAGTGGAAGAAGCCTAGACACAAAATGTACTTATTTATGATCCATATACATGAAGTTTGAGAAAATAAAACTAATCGAAGTGATGGAGGTACTGATTGCAAGGAGGTTCCAGAGAACCCTTCAGGGTGATAGGAATTCACTGTATCTCAAATATGATGGTAGCTAATTCAAAACCCCTGAATTACATACATTTAAAATAGGTGCATTTTTTAGGGCGCCTGGGTGGCTAGTTGGTTAAGCATCCGACTTCGGCTCAGGTCATGATCTCATGGTTCGTGGGTTCGAGCCCTGTGTCGGGCTCTGTGCTGACAGCTAGCTCAGAGCCTGGAGCCTGCTTCGGATTCTGTATCTCCCTGTCTCTGACCCTCCCCTGCTCATGCTGTCTCTCTCTCCCTCAGAAATAAATAAAACATTAAAAACAATTTTAAATAGTTGCATTTTATTGTTAGTAAATTATACTTCCATGAAGTTGATGTAAAAAAAAAGTGGGGAAAAAACCCCACTTAATATGGGTCCTGGCACTGTTTTTGGGATTTAGAGACCAGGCTCTGGAGCCACATTATTAAAAAAAAAAATTTTTTTTTAATGTTCATTTAGTTTTGAGGGAGAGAGAGATAGAGCATGAGCAGGGGGAGGGGCAGAGAGAGGGAGACACAGAATCCGAAGCAGGCTCCAGGCTCTGAGCTGTCAGCACAGAGCCCAATGCAAGGCTTGAACCCAGGAACTGTGAGATCAGGACCTGAGCCTAAGTCAGCAGCTTAACTGACTAAGCCACCCAGGTGCCCCTAAAGCCACATTATTTGAGTCAGAATCCTGTTCTGCGAACCTGGAGAGGTTACCCTTTGTGTTTTAGTTCTTTCATATGTAAAATAAGGGAGTCTTGATGGTTTTGTTAAGATTGAGTTAGTGGTAAGTGATTGTAACAGTGACCAACACAGTGAACATTCAGTAAAAGTTAAGCTGTAACGATTATAAATAACAGGAGTATCGCTGTTAAATATTTTTCTTCTCCACGTCCCCTGTGGGGAGGAGACTGACTCACACACCCTTGTGGCCTAGGTAGAAGCTCCCTGTGTCACAGTAAATTGGGTTCCCATTAAGTCTGTTTCTCTTCATGTACTTTGGCAGGGATATAAGGAGCTATGTCTGAACAGAGATGAGTAGATAGCAGAGAGGGCAGGAAGAAGCATGGTTCAAGAGACTCTAGAATGCCAAGAACAAACTGAGGACTGATGGGTATGGGGGGGAGGGGAATGGGGGTGATGGGCATGGAGGAGGGCACTTGTGGGAATGAGCACTGGGTGCTATATGGAAACCAACTTGACAATAAGCTATTTAAAAAAAAAAAAAGCATGGTTGTCTCAAGGGTGGAGCGAGCCATCACTGTTAGTTAAGCTTGTCTCTCCTTGACCTTCTTCACCTTAGAAGTTTCAGTTCAGCATCTGAGAATACTGCTCTGACTAATAGGTCACCTTGCAGTGTCCCCATAGGAACCCATTCTTGCAGTAATGTCCAACGCACCTCATCGGAGGTTGTCCAGCATTTGCTTCTGAAGGAGGCAATGGTCACAGAGATGCCGAGCTCTACTATGCTGATGATCAGTAAGACTGACAAAATTCCCTGTAAATAGTGAGGATAAATATATGGCATTTGGAATGAAAGCTATATCGTTTTAAAGGTAAAAGCCAAGGACTATTTACACTGTATGACCAAGTAAGGGATAACCCATATTTTAGATGCTCCTGTAGCCATCAGTGACTGAACAGTTTTCATCATGTCTTTTTGATGAGCAGAGATAACAAACCTTAATGCCTATAGGGGACAGGCAACCATCCCAAATGAATGAAACAGAAGGGGAGACGGTAGAGAATAAAGATATTCCTAGAATGTGTCCATTACCCAGTACTGAGCAATAGTTCCCATGTGGGAATATGGACCCCGGGATGTCTTTCTTCTTTCCTAAGGAAGCTGAATATACACATTTTTAATGTGAACATTTCCAACTTTTCCTTCACTTGTGTGAATCAAATAGAGCAGATCTGCAGGCTGGATATAGCTCACAGACTGCTGATTTGCACACTCTGCTTTAAGGTAATAGTTAGATGGAGAAGCAGCATATGAAATAGCATGGTGTCAAAAAGCTTAGACTGAAAGAGGTGGGTGCAGTCAGGTCCAACTTAACTTGGTTAAGTGACTGAGTCTCTAATTCTTGGTTTCCCTATAATCCATCCAGAAACCTGGATTTCCCCCTATTTGTTGGTAAAACTGGAATATATGAAATGCCTACTGTAAATTTGCTGCTGAACAAGATAGACCTGCTGCTGGTCATTGTAAGACTTGCATCAAACAAGGAAGGCAAACAGTAACAGATAATTAGACAATTATTTGCTTAACTAAGCTGTGGTAAGTGCCATGAAAAGGTATTGGGAGCTATGCACTACTCTAAGGAGAGATCTGAACACATCAGCCCTGGGAAGAGTAGAAGCGGGACCAGGAAGGACCTCCTAAATGAAGTCAAGTTTAAACCGAGTTTAAAGAAGGAGGGGGGAGTTTTAATTGGGTAGGTGGAAGAGGGTAGGCACTGGGCTGGGGAATATTTGAAGCAAGAGAAAGCTGGTCTTATGGTCCTGGGGCAGTGGGTATTTAGCACATTATGGAATTTGGGGAAGTGCCAGAAGTGTGGAATGAGAAGGGTAAAGATACAGAGTAATGTTGGCAAGGTAGGTGTTATAGGCTTTTGTAAACCTTTTAACATTTGTGTCTTAATTCTGTATTTCACAAGAAGCCCATTAGTAATGTGCTCAGATCTACATTTTTAATTGATGCCTCTGACTACAGTGTAGACAGTAGGTTTGTCTTTGAGACAGAGGATATCCGTTCAGGAGATGTCTAGAGTCCACTGTTCTGGCTTGTGTGTTTTTTTAAAGCTTATTTGCAAGGCTTGAATTACAGTAAGGAATTGTGGAGTTGTATACACATGAGGTCTTGGAGTGGATCGTTCATGATTATGTATGTAGGAACTAATCCTGCAAAATTCCCTATTCATGCACAGCTGAAAGGAGACAGCAGAGTTTTATAGATCTGGAGATTTAACCCTTTCGGTATACAGTTTCTTCCTGATTCATACTAACATAATGTATAGTAGTCGTCTCCTGTCCACTAAAAAAAAAAAGAATAAGGGATTATAATGTACCGTATTCTTGGTCCAATTAGGAAAGGATTGTGTTCCTTACATAGTGTCCTGGCTTTGCTTAGTAACTTTTTTTTGAGTCTAATTCTGGAGTTTACCTCAGAACACATGGGAACGTTCTTAGGCTCTTTTTTATAGGTAATTATGAGGATTAAAAAGATCTCATATCTGGTAACTGGTAGTTCTTTTCTCTTTCCTTCTTTATTTGGGAAGACAATGTCCCGTGATTCTATTTCACATCAATCCAAACAGGTCAACTCTCACTACGTTCTAGGACCAAAGTCTTCAAGATGTGGCTGATGGAAATAGAATGAAAGCCTAGGATTTACTTGGGGAAGTAAAGGGAGAGGACTTTGGGAATCACTGACATGTATTAAAAAAAGTCACTGAATACTACTAGATAAATATTGAAAATTACACCTACAATTGTATTTCCTGGCAAAGATACATCTCATCTGCTGTCATGAATAACACTGCTACATTTATGTAAAATAATTTATGTTCTAAGATTATTAAAGTACATTATTAAGCAGCTTAAACACTTTCTCCCACTATATTTTGTTTTTAGTATTAATTGAGTAAACTTTTTAGATTTTGTTCCTCTTTAATTCTAAAAAGGTAAAATTTAATGCAGTCCATGTCCGTACTAATAGTAATAGCCAAAACCTATTGACTGTTTACAGTATGCCAGGCAGTGTTCTAATTTAAGTAATCTTCACAACAACGCAATGAGGGAGGTATTCTTATTATCTTCATTTTGCAACAACCCAATGAGGGAGGTATTCTTATTATCTTCATTTTCGAGACAAAGAAAACTGGGGCTTAGATAAGATATATTAGTCCAAGGTCACAAGTGTGTAAGTTACACAACCAGGATTCAGACCCTGAATCACAGTATCTTTTTAAGAGTTCATTCAAATGCTGACTCAACTTCCATTATTAGAATCAAATTTAATGACTTGATGCATCATGAACATAGCTCAGGTAAGATTGTACAGATTCACCGTATGGAGAAGGACCACTTACATTGAACAGGATTCTACCTATGACACATATTCCTTCGAGGGAAGGAGTCTGGCAGTACTCGTGCTGGTGTCTGTAGCTGATAATGGTTAGGGTAATCCCAGCCACTGCAACCAAGGAACTGATGACATTCATGGCTGTGACACCTAGTCCCTGGGAAATAGTTTTAAAAATAATATTAAAATAAATAAAAACCAAACCAAATCAAAAATTCCTTTTAAGGGGTGCCTGGGGGGCTCTGTTGATTGAGCATCCAACTCTTGATTTCTGCTCAGGTCCATGATCCCAGGGTCATGGTTTTGAGTCCCATCATCAGGCTCTGTGCTGAGTGTGGAGCCTGCTTAAAGATTCTTTCTCTCTCTCTCTCTCCCCCTCCTTCTCTGTCCCTCTCCCCTGCTTGCACTCTCTCTCTCTCTCTCTCTCTCTCTCTCAAATAACAAAATAAAAAATAATTTTAAAAACCATGTGCTTTAAAAATTTTTTTAAATCCTTGTAAGAAATTCTTAGTGCATTTGTCTTTGCAGATACCCCTCAGGGATGAATTGCTCCATCAGGTCAGCATGCTGAAAAGGCAAGATAAGTCAAATCCTGATTCATCAAAGTCAGAAGACAAACTAAGTTTTAGAATGAGCCAGGAAGCCAAGAATTAGAATGAGTGGAGAACGAGTGCTCTATGGTTAATGCTAAATAAAACATTCATTTTACCCAAATGCACCATCTTTCATAATCTACAAGCAAAATGGTGTATTAGAAGATATCTTGGCCTTATAATTAGACTTCATTTGAGTCCTAGTGAACGAGGGCCTGGTAAAAAGGTAGCTAATTTCTTGGAAGCTCAATTTCTACCTCGAGAAATGAGAATAATGTCACTTAATTTTAGGGCAGTATCCATTTATTAATTTTAATAAATGTTTAGCATACCCCGACTCTGTATCCAGCACTTCATTAGGCCCCTGGGACACAAAGATAAACATATTCGATGAGGTCCTGCCTTCCTGTGGCTTACATTCATTCCCCCAGAGGATTCAAACAATAACTGACCAAATCCCTAACATATTTACAGATTGCTACAAATTTGGACTGGGGTTTAATGATTTGCTTTCTTGATTTCAGTGTCCCAACATGGAAGGTATTAAAAGTCTAGATTGCCCCACCAAATTCCCTTCATTCACTTCATATATATATATGTATACATATATACACATATACATATGTTCCTTTATAACATACATATTCACTCCATACACACACACACACACACGTATACACACACACATACATATGTTCCTTTATAACATACATATATATTCTACTCCATATGTGATATGCCTTGTAACATATACCTTTAAATGAAGGGCCAGGAAGGGGGTGTGGAAAGGGGGTGCAGGAGTGTCTTATTCATAACCTACTTCCAGGACTGCTTCTGCTTTTTTTTGTTTTTTGTTTTTTGTTTTTTTTTTTTGTTTTTCTTTTTTTTTTACAAATAGTTTATTGTCAAATTAGTTTCCACATAACACTCAGTGCTCATCCCCACAAGTGTCCTCCTCCATGCCCATCCCCCCTCCCCCCCACATCCATCAGTCCTCAGTTTTTGTCAGCATTCAAGAGTCTCTCATGGTTTGCCTCTCTCCCTTTCCCCCACCATTCCCCCCTTCTTCTCCCCCTTGTTCCTCCGTCAAGTTCCTCCTAATCCTCCTATACGTGCAAACATATGATATTTGTCCTTCTCTGCCTGACTTATTTCGCTCAGCATAACACCCTTATGACCCAGCAATAGCACTGCTAGGAATTTACCCAAGGGATACAGAAATGCTGAGGCATAGGAGCACATGTACCCCAATGTTCATAGCAGCACTCTCCACAATAGCTAAAACACGGAAAGAGCCTAAGTGTCCATCAACAGATGAATGGATCAAGAAAATGTGGTTTATCTATACCATGGAATACTACATGGCAATGAGAAACAATGAAATCTGGCCATGTGTGGCAACATGGATGGACCTTGAGGGTGTTATGCTGCTTCTGCTTTTTTAAAAGAAAAACAAAGAAACAGGTCGTATCTCAACTCAGTAGATATTTGCCATATCTTGACTGCATTGTGCCTGTGGCGACGGGCAATGCAGTGATGCATTTACACAGCCTGTCCTCTCCAGGAGCAGCTGTGGCTTAGTGTCACAGGACTATGACCTAATGCCTGCCCCAAACACAAGTCTTTACTACAAACAGACATTCTGGCAAAAATGCACAGGACTGTACAGATATTCTGTCTCTTTCAAGCCTTAGTCTTTTGCTCTTTCTGGGCTCTGTTCTGGCTCCCATAGGACGTTTAATGGGAGGAAGTTTCTATGTAAGCAAACCCCCATGACTATTTCACGTTCTAGTTTATGAAGAACATGCCAAGCCTTTTGTCTCATCTGATCTTCATTACAGTTTTGTGATGCAGGCTCACCACCTGTTATCCCCACATCACAACTGGATAGAGCTCAGGGACTTGGTGGTGGTGAGGAATCCCACAGTTGGGGGGAAGAGCTGGGATGGAAAGCCAGGTCTTCTGATGCCCAATTCAGTGAGCCAGCCTCTGTGCCATCCTGCCTGCCTCTGTCTGCATAGCTCTCAGTGAGCCAGGGTTAGGTCTGCCTATCCGTAGTTCGTTCCTCAGCTCTAAAGAGAACCAATATGGAGAAAAGAACAGCATTTGGGGTTTTACCTATATTGTCTGTACTTATTTCTATGGGTGGAAAGAGATGGGGGCTTTCACCCCCCCCTAGAACTTCCTATAGTTTGTAGCTATCCTTAGAGGAAAATAGCAGAGGACTGTAAAAACAGTTAGAATGGCTCTAAGAGAAGGCTCACATATCCGTAGCCTTAAAAAATGAGAGTCATTAGAAGGTAGTACAGACTTTTAAGTATCTTTTGTATGTAATATCTTATTTAATTCTCAGAATAGCCCTTTGAAGAAGGTACTTTCCCCTTCAAGTTAACACAGCAATGAGTGATAGCCTTGATTCTACCCCAGAATGACCTGCTATCAGTGTCAGACTCTTTCTTTCAGACCCTGGGCAGGTCCCCAAGACAAGCTTCCGTTGGTGGGGGTGAGGAGTAGGGAGATTACAGTGATCCTGGGATTGGTTTCGGTTAGAGTAGAGCTTCTCAACCTTGTCACTACAGACATTTGGGACTAGATCATTACTTTTTGTTATGGGAGACTTTTCTGCGCATTTTAGGATGTCTAGAAAGATTCCCGACCTCTACCCACTAGCTGATAATAGTACCCTGCCGCCTGGTTGTGACAGCTAAAAATTTCTTCAGACACTGTCAGATATTTCTGCAGGAGGAGGCAAAATTATTCCCAGTTAAGAACCTTGTACAATGATTTCCAACAAGCGACTCTTTTCAGTTTACTTGGCCATGAAAATGGAAACCAGTAGAAGGGTGAGGGCTAATGGTGACATGGGCAGGTAGGGATGACCTGAAGTGCGAATTTGATGTCTAAAGATTTTCTTGGGAGATCCTTTGTTACTAAAGACTTTGTATAGAAAGATGTTGTAAAGCAAGGAGGAGGTTTTAAATTTACATAGAAGTCGCGAAAGTAACTTACCATACATTTCTTGTTCTCATTGATTCCTGTGATGTATCCCGTAATAACAAACTGTTAAGAAGAAAAGAGATAAAAGTTAACAGGTAGCGTGTTTGACTCACTTACAATATAAATTCCTTTGGAGATTATGTTGTAACCTCTATGTCTGTGAATCTCCCCAACTATATAGTCTCTCACTTGAGCATCAGGGAGGAAGGAGGACAGACACTGATGTAAGAAGAAATACTGCGTTGGACATGCTCAGCACTGAACAACACCCCTTTGCCAGGGTCAGCTGTGAGAGGCAGGCCCTTCTCTAAGGGCCACAAAACACCACCCAGATGTTTGGCCCAGCTGGGCTCTAAATAGAAAGATAATCCTGGACTCTGGGCCTGGAAGAGGGAATGGTGAGCTGTGTCTGCTCTGAGAAGATGGAGGAAGACGCTCAGGGCAGAACTTTCTAAAGGCTGATATACGGGTTGGAATCTAGTATAGTTATCTCAGTCACTTCTTTTATCTGGAACATAGAGTCTAGTAGAACCCAAGGAAAACTGAGAGCTCTGTCACTCAGAGTTGAGCACCTTACTTACTTGAATATTCTGGGAATGGGGACTTCTCCTGTAGGAATTTGTATTGAACCTTGAGGACATCTGGGTCTCATTGTTCAGGGACCTCAAGGTGACACGCAGAGATCAGAAAGTTGCCTTTGATACCTCCCTCCACTTCACTGCCCACAACAGATCACCACTGGATCTACCTCCAAATCGCTCTCAAAGCTTTCCATCTCTTTCTATCTCCACTGCAGCCCATCTAGGTCAGGGAACTATCTTTCCTCCCCTGGATTCTTGCAGCCTCCTTTCAACTGATTGTCCCAGGTTTGCTGTTATCATCCTTGAATTCATTTACCACTCAGAAAACCCATGATGTTTTAAAGGTAACAAGTCTTCAAATGTCACTCTCCTCTTTAAAGATTATCTGTGGATTTCCCTGTTCTCATACTGTCCATATTCTCAATGTGACCACAAGGGCTAGCACAACCTGGTTCTGTCCTATGGTTTTGGCCTCATTTTGTGCCCCAGTCTTCTTTCTGTTGTTCTTCCCCATATCAAGCCTTTCACTCATGGTTTGTCTTCACTAGGCGATGCTTTCCTTGCATTTCACCCAGTGAACGCGTACGTGCAAAGCACTTCCCTGACCTCCATGCCAGGTGACTCCTCCGTTAAATCTTCACAGGGCATCTGGAACTTCTGTCTTGAGTACTTAGTGCAAGTGAAATAATGTATCTGTGGTTATTCTTACTTTTCCACTTCCAGCTTCCCTATTATATGACAAAGTCCATCTATTTCTTTTTAAAAAAAATTTTTTTTTAATGTTTTTTATTTCTAGGAGAGAGAGAGAGACAGCGTGAGCAGGGGAGGGTCAGAGAGAGAGGGAGTCACAGATTGAAACAGGCTCCATGCTCCGAGCTGGCAGTCAGCACAGACCCCGACGCGGGGCATGAACCCACGAACCATGAGATCATGACCTAAGTGAAAGTCGGACGCTTAGCCGACTAAGCCACCCAGGGACCCCAAAGTCCATCTATTTCTAAGAAGAGCAGCCCACCACCTCCCTAATTAAGAGAGCCTTGTTTGCCAGTGCTCTCAGCACCTACAACACTGCCAAAGATAGACTGTGTGCTCAGTGAGTAGCTTCTCAGTGAAGAGTGGAGTTTTAAAGAGCAGAACGCCAGAACCTCACTAGGACCCATGTGTGCAGGTCACACAGAGTCACACTAGGGAAGTTCTGTCGTGAAATGAGGCGGAGAGCTGGCCTTTTTGACTCTCTACAGTGGGGCATGTGTAGTTTGAAAATTGTAGTTTATATTATAGTATTTCCATTTGGACAATGAACATACTACTAATTGTTTTTGAAATGGAGAATATAGAAAAGGCATGGAATATTTATGTTTATCAAAAGAGCAAGTTTTTCCAAAATGTGAGGTATAACCATCCCAGACTTTAGCCTCTACTACAAAGCTGTCATCATCAAGACAGTATGGTATTGGCACAAAAATAGACACATAGACCAATGGAACAGAATTGAGAACTCAGAAGTGGACCCAAAAGTATACAGCCAACTGATCTTTGACAAAGCAGGAAAGAATATCCAATGGAAAAAAGACAGCCTTTTTAACAGATGGTGTTGGGAGAACTGGACAGCAACATGCAGAAGAATGAAACTAGATCATTTTCTCACACCATGCACAAAAATCAACTCAAAATGGATAAAGGACCTGAACGTGAGACAGGAAACTATCAACACCCTAGAGGAGAAAGCAGGAAACAACCTCCTTGACCTCCACCGCAGCAACTTCTTACTTGACACATCCCCAAAAGCAAGGGAATCGAGAGCAAAAATAAACTGTTGGGACCTCATCAAGATTAAAAGCTTCTGCACAGCCAAGGAAACAACCCAGAAAATTAATAGGCAACCAACGGAATGGGAAAAGATAGTTGCAAATGACATATCAGATAAAGGGTTAATATCCAGAATCTATAAGGAACTCACCAAACTCCACGCCCGAAAAACAAACAACCCAGTGAAGAAATGGGCAGAAGACATGAACAGACACTTCTCCAAAGAGGACATCCAGATGGCCAACAGACACATGAAACGATGCTCAGCATCCCTCCTCATCAGGGAAATACAAATCAAAACCACACTGAGATACCACCTCACGCCAGTCAGAGTGGCTAAAATGAGCAAATCAGAGAACTCTAGATGCTGGCGAGGATGTGGAGAAACGGGCACCCTCCTGCACTGTTGGTGGGAATGTAAACTGGTACAGCCCCTCTGGAAAACAGTGTGGAGGTTCCTCAGGAAACTAACAATAGAACTCCCTTATGACCCAGCAATAGCACTGCTAGGAATTTACCCAAGGGATACAGAAATGCTGAGGCATAGGAGCACATGTACCCCAATGTTCATAGCAGCACTCTCCACAATAGCTAAAACATGGAAAGAGCCTAAGTGTCCATCAACAGATGAATGGATCAAGAAGATGTGGTTTATCTATACCATGGAATACTACATGGCAATGAGAAACAATGAAATCTGGCCATGTGTAGCAACATGGATGGACCTTGAGGGTGTTATGCTGAGCGAAATAAGTCAGGCAGAGAAGGACAAATACCATATGTTTGCACGTATAGGAGGATTAGGAGGAACTTGACGGAGGAACAAGGGGGAGAAGAAGGGCGGAAATGGTGGGGGAAAGGAAGAGAGGCAAACCATGAGAGACTCTTGAATGCTGACAAAAACTGAGGACTGATGGATGTGGGGGAGAGGAGGGATGGGCATGGAGGAGGACACTTGTGGGGATGAGCACTGAGTGTTATGTGGAAACTAATTTGACAATAAACTATTTGTAAAAAATAAAATAAAATAAAATAAAATAAAAAAGAGAAATAGCAAAAAAAAAAAAAGCAGGTTTTTAATAGAGACAGTAGTCTCATCCAATTATTATTTAATTTATCTGTGCATTGAGTGATGCGTTTTCTGAGTGGTAAATGAATTCAAAATGACAGCTTCCAGAGGTGGGGAGTAGGGGCGATGGAGAATTGGGTGAAGAGGAGAGGGACGTACAGGCTTTCAGTTAGGGAATGAATAAGCCACAGGGATAAAAGGCACAGCATGAGGCATATAGTCAGTGAGAGTGGAATTACGTTGTAATGGTGACAAAGGCTAGCTACACTTGGGTGAGCACAGCATCGTGTACAAACTTGTCAGATCACTATATTGTACACCTGAAACTAATGGAACTTTGTGTGGTGGCTCTACTGAAATAAAAATTACTTACTCTCAACCTCCGTTTCCGTATTTGCCAAAGAGAAAGTAGGATATTTGCCCATCTGATCTCCCAGATGGGCGGTAAGGAGCAGATGACTTACTCTGCACACAGGGCTTTGGACACTTTTAAACACCATACACCTAAGGGCCGATATTACTGTGGTGATGGTAGTGCAGTGACCAAATGGAGTCGCTTCTCTTGCCACAGAAGGGACCAGCTATCTGGTCTCCTTGGGGACCGTATTCATGGGCTTCTTCATCCCAGGACCTGACGCAGTTCAAACCAGTCTTGATAGTAATTTCACAAAAGCTCCTAACTGACAATACTCACAATAAATGCTCCCCAAAATGGATATCCTGTGAGGAAAACGAGGGGAAATCTCTGGGAGAAATTGAAGTAATTAAATGCAAATATAGTTCCGACACCCACAATGATCAGCGCAAGCAGGATCTGGATAGCCTGAGAGGAGAGAAATGGGTACATGAGGTCACAGGTGCCCCAGCCTCTTGGGACTCTCCCGGGGCCCCTGGGACATCCCGCGATGCTTATGTCACACATCCCTCCACGTGAATGCCTTCCTCTTCTGTTTGCCCACCTCCCTCAGAGTTTCAGAAAGTCCAGTGGCTCTTTCTTCATCGCACTTACCTGGGTCCTAAAGGTTCACATCTCTCACTCTCACCCTTCACTGCCTATTATACCCCCTGTACTACCGTTTACCCTGCACCAGACAGAGTACATGTTTCCATAGCCAGTATATGCTTTTGGAGTTATGGCTCAGCCTAGTTCCCTAAAAAATCTGCGAGGTTTGCTGATGTAGAGTGGGGGAGCTGGGGTGAGGTTTATGTCTCGTCTGGTGTCCAAACAAGGGCCTGTCCAGAGGTGAGAGTGACCCAGCGGGCTCACACGGCTGCGAGGAGTCTGCTCCACAGTGCTCTGGCAGTGCTGCTGGCTCTTCTCAGGACACAGCTCCTCCTCCAGCCTTCTGGGTTTTTCCCCAGCCCACACCTCTATAGCACCACCCAAAGTAGTACTTTTACTCTTGCACTAAAGATAGAGGCTGTGTTCACAGCCCTCCTCTCGGTACATGCATGACTGAAAAATGTTGGCTCTGTCTTTTCTACACTGTGGCTCACTGTGAAGCTTTGAATAGAGTTTTCAAAGAACCCCCAACCCCTGTAACAGCACAAAGGGGAAGTTTAACCTCTCCTCAAATGGCTTTTAACACCAAGGGACATGCCCCCAGGTTCTGAAGTCACCTCCACGCTAAAATATTGGGGGAAATTATACCAGTTTCCTGCCTTCGTCTCTGCTGGGATTCAAAGAGCAGTATTAACTCTACATGAAACAGTGCTAGGATTCCCGCAGGGCTAGGGAAGTTGTTAATTACAGGGTTAAATAAGCCCCCAGAAACATTTCTAAGACACGCGTATAAATAAGACATTTCTAAGGCAAACTGTGTGCATTTCTAACAGAACTTTCATTTCTCTTGTTCATCAAAATGTAGGAAAATGATACGATTGGCTACATACTGGCTCTTCTGCTGAAGATCTGCTTCTTTGCACAAGCAAATAACTTAGAGGTTTTTATGATTAATGAAGAAGGAAACATGGTAGACAAATGGGGAGGGAAAAAAAGGGGAATCAAATCCCTTCCTGAAAAAGCATCCATCCAGACACATTTGGGGAAATAGCTTCCTTTCTCCCTTCCAGGAAAACCCATGGATGGGGGAGGACTTACCCCCAAGACTTTGGGCTCTCCCTTCAGGAAATCCAGCAGAGAGGTCTGAGGCTCATAGGGAAGTGCAGTCAGTACTGTTTCATTTGGTTGTATCACCATGATATGGGACGATCTTTTGACCTCAGATGAAGACCCCATGATTCAGTGGCAGAGCTCTGTTAGAAGAAGTGATTGAACGTCACAGCTAAAATCATGGTCTTCCATCAGCCTCACATGGAGTCCTTAGCAATGAGCCTTGGCAGGTGCCCTACTCACTCCGACAGCCACAGAACCACAGTCATTGAGTCATAGAGTCTTAGAATTCTAGAGCATATCCAGCCCCTGGGATCCAGTGAAAGGTCCAGTGGTCCAGAAGACCTACTTTCTTGTCAGTTTGTGTATAAACAGGTGGTAAACACACACACACAAAATAGATGATGTATGTGAAAACAAATCCCAGTTCCTGTGCTTATGAGATATAAAGGAACTGAAACTTACGGAATATCTATTCTGTTCTAGATTCTGTAGACAGTGTTTTGTTTTCATATCTATTAACATGTATTCTTTTAACAGGCCTATAGTGCTGAAAGTGAGGTACAGAAAGATTATGTTGCCCAAAGTAACATACTAATGGAGAGGGAAAGGAGCCAGACTCCATTTGTCTGTCTAAAATTTGTGTTTCTTCCACCCTCTTCCCGAAGGGCTGCAGCTAATCCTATTCAAGGCCTTCCTGGTTTAAACAATGCAAGTACGCTGAAGGGAACATTAAGTGCCTTTTGGAATTTTGATTTTCATGTTTACTCCGTTATAGTCCTGTATCTGTTATGATTTTAACTATTAAAATGTCCAGACTCCAGAGAGAGTGTATTTCTCAACACAACATTTTTCTGTCAGTGTGTATTCAGGTACATTTTCATTTAGGTGCCCAACGTGCAAGGCAACATTTTAAGCGATCAAAGTGTGGGACACGTCCATGTTTAAGTCCTAAGCAGAAGTGATAGATCATTAGAATCACGTGGAGAAGTCGTGAAAAGCATGCCGTGGCAATAAATGGGAGGTGGACCCAGGGTGGTGCTGACTCACATGGCGGCCACACTCTGCCAGAAAAGCACCTGTAACCAACCATTGTGAATATTTGGTGATTAAGGAATTACTATAGATTTAGCATTTTATAACCCACCATGTTAATTTGCCATTCACATGTGGATATTTTCCTGCCTTTTATTTAACATTTTGGGAAATTTGACGGGAGCTTGGGCTGACTAACAGCGTATAGTTTTTCCTGTAAAATGATGCAAAAGGAGTGTCTTCATGAAGAAAACCTGATTTTTAGCGAAGAATAACTGATGATAAACAGGAGAAACTTATCATTTTATTTGGCTTGGTCCTTTCGAAAACCACATCTACTTTTATGATTTCCACAAAGTTACAGTTGTCAGCCTCTGCCTTTCCCCACTGCTTCTGACTTTCAAGCCTCTTAAAGATGGGTCCTCTCATATTTCAGTCTGTGGACTCAGATCAGAAGACAGGAACTGGTCTATTCCACGGAGAGGCAAGATGACAGGGTCTCTGGGGGACAGCTGCCAACAGCGTGAGACTCTGGGTAGAAATGGTGTTCCCTCTTGCTGTCAACCTGCAGAAGACCACTCTCGGGGTTTCACAGGTAACATTTAGCTCTCAGTGCCAGTGCTACTTTAAGTAACGTGAGATATTTACTCCCTCACAAAGTTCATTCTTGTGCATGTGCTGCCGTGTCGCTCTCCCAGCAACTTTGGGAGGCAGGTTTTATTATCACACTCATTTTAAAGAGGAGGAAACAGGTCCGATGTTAATGCTAGTAAGGGTTGAAGCCAAAACTTGAGCTTGGATTTTCCTTCCATCTTCCATGCTACAGTCTAGTATGTGTTCTTTTTTCTTTTTTTTTTTTTTTTAAGTTTATTTATTTGGGGAAGGAGAAGAGAGAGAATGTGAGCAGGGGAGGGGTAGAAAGAGAGAATCTCAAGCAGGCTCTGAGCTGTCAGTACAGAGCCTGATGCAGGGCTTGAGCCGAAATCAAGAGTCGGACGCTTAATTGAGCCACCCAGGCGCCCCTGTATTCGCTTTTTTATTGTTATTAACTACCACAAATTTAGTGACTCAAGACATCACACATTTAGTGTCTTATGATTTTCATGGATCAGGAGTTGAGGCAGGGCCTAGCTGGGAGCCTCTGTTCAGGGTCTCACATGGATGCCTATCATCATGGTGTCAGATGGGGTCGTATTTTCATCTAGAGTCTCAAGTGGGCAAAAGCCGCTTCCAAGCACAGTCAGGTTATTGACAGAATTTATTTCCTTGTGGCTGTATGACTCAGGGCCCTGGGTTTTTCTGGCTGGATGCCCTCAGTTCTTTGCTTTCTCAACATGACTGCTCACATCAGGCCACAAGGGAGAATCTGTCACCCACGCTGGCTAAGATGGGAGGAAGGATGGAGAGTTTGTGATAAGGATTTGAATATGTGTGGCTCAGCCACTGATTTTGTTATCTTTTGGGGAACCTGCAATTTTATTCTAAGAAATTAAGAGAACACAGAGTTCTAATATGTTAAATATGTGCAATGTCTGCTTGGACTTGGTTGAAACTGCTCACTCCTTTTCTTGCCATGAATTTATTAGGCTTTCCTGATAATGGTTCTTGTCTGATTGAGTCCCCAAAGTGAATATAGCAGTGAGACAAAAGATAGTAAAAGAATGACCCCCAAATTCCTGGCTTTAGAGACTGAGCAGATGGACAGACCATTTATGAAAGACAACCAGGATGAGGGAGTGGAGGGAAGTTGCAAATGAAATGTGTGATGTCTTACAGCACCCACTATCAGTTTGGAGTATTATTCCAGATAATTCTGAATATATTCCAGATAGTATTATTTGAAATATTATTCCAGATAGTTCTAAATATAAATCTCCAGATATTCTTAAGGACCTTTCTATTACCAGAGAAACAAACAAATAAGAAATGGATCCTGGATTAAATATTTTATTGTGTTGCTTGGCTTACAAAATAAGGAGGAATCTCCAAGGCCCTCCACTCCCAGTGTAAAAATACTAATACACACACACACACACACACACATACACACACACACACATTTGAAAACACACAAACAGGAGTTGAAAACCTCAGAAGAGAGTAGTAAGTGACTGCCCTAGCTTATAGATTAGGGGGGGTAGACATACAATTAACAAATAAATAAAATACATAGTATGTCAGATCATTGTAAGTTATTTGAGGAAAAAATAAGCAAGTGATGGGGAGAGAGGGCGGTAATTTTATGTAGGTTGGTGGGGAAAATTTTACTGAAACTAAGAGATTTGAAGAAAGACCTGAAAGAAGTGAGAAAGGAAGCCATGGAAATAATTGTAAGAAACGTATTCCAGGTAGAGGGCCTGCCGATGTAAAATAAATTTTTTAAATATAATTTTAATAATATTTGTCATATTTATTTATTTTTGTGAGAGAGTGAGGGAGGAGCAGAGAGAGAATCAATGCAGAGCTTGGTGCAGGGCTCAAAGTCACAAACTGAGACCATGACCTGAGCCGAAAGAAAGAGTTGGACACTTAACCGACTGAGCCACCCAGGCACCCTCCACCCCGCCCCTGATGTAAAATGTCTAAAGAAAGAATATGTCAAGTGACGGCAAAAGGCCCATGTGACTGGAGTGGAGGGAGCAGAGGGGTGTAGTTAGAAGGTCAGAGCAGAAATGAGAGTTCAGGTCCTTTAAGGACATTTAAGGACTCTGACTTTTATTTGGAATGAAATGGAGTGGGTTTGAGCAGAGAAATGATCTGATCTGATTTCAGATGGAAAAGTAAATAAGCTCTCTGCTGTGCGGGGAACAGACCGAGCAGTGTGGGTGCCCCTCTGGTTGGCTCATTGCAATAATGACAGTGGCAGTTGATGAACCAGAGTGCCCATGAGATGGTGAGAAGCAATCAGACTCAGTATGTTTTGAAGCTGGAACTAACAAGTTTTAATGCTAGACTGGATGTGGTGTATGAAAAAAAATAGAAGAGCCGAAGATGACCCCAAGGCTTTTGGAAGATAATGTTTGAAAGAGATTTGACTCTGGAGAAGGGAGGGATGGCTCAATAATTAGACAGGCCAACAGGTCAAAAGTGGCTTTTTCAAAAATGCTTATGTAACATAGAAGCAATAGAAACAATAATATAACATATTATATATATGTTTTATATATATATATATATAACATATTATAACATAGAAGCAAGAGAACACAAGTTATATATATATATATATATACACATATACACAATACCAGCATCCAGATCAAGGAAAAGAAAGTTTCCATGAGCCCATAGACCCTCTGGGTTCCTTTCCAGGAATCACCTACTCCCAAAGGTGATCACTATCCTAGTTCTGACACCATTAGTTCAGCTTGTGTTTAAATTTTATATACACAGAATCATACACTATGTACTCTTTTTTTTAATGTAGCCAAATTCTTTTTATTTATTTATTATTATAATATTTTATTTTTTAATTTACATCCAAGTTAATTAGCATATCGTGCAATAATGATTTCAGGAGTAGATTCAAGGGATCCATCCCCTATGTATAACACCCAGTGCTCATCCCAACAAGTGTGTCTTCCTTAATGCCCCGACCCATTTAGCCCCTCCCCCCACCCTTCCAGAAACCTTCAGTTTGTTTTCTGTATTTAAGAGTCTTTTATGTTTTGTCCCTCTCATTGTTTTTGTATTAATTTTGCTTCCCTTCCCTTATGTTCATCTGTTTTGTATCTTAAATTCCTCATGAGCAAAGTCATATGATATTTGTCTTTCTCTGACTGACGAATTTCGGCTTAACATAATTAATACCCTCTAGTTCCATCTGTGTAGTTGAAAATGGCAAGATTCCGTTCTTTCTGATTGCTGAGTGATGCTCCATTGTATACATATACCACATCTTCTTTATCCATCCATCTGTCGATGGACTCTTTTTTTTTCTTAAATAGTTTATTGTCAAGTTGGTTTCCATATAACACCCAGTGTTCATCTCAACAAGTGCCCTCCCCCATGCCCTCAATGGACTCTTTTGTATATGGTTTTTCTCCCCCTGAACATTATGTTTATGGAATTAATCTATATAGCTGCATGTAATTATAGTTTGACCACTCATGTTACTGTTTACTACTCCATTGTATGACTATGCCACAATTTTTATTTCTCTCTTCTATTGTTTATAGTCATTTAGATAGTTTCCTTTTGGAGGCAATTATATGTATTACTTATATGACCATCTCTATATATGTCATTTGGAAAACATGTATCAATGTGTGTAGCATATTCCTCTGCGGTTAAGACCCAAGGCCTAGACCCAGGGGACAATATTAGAAACCTCTTTATTGGGTAGGTCAGGTTGTTTACTCCAGTACAGTAATAAAATTATGGCTAATTTCTTACTTGGTCTAGAACTTAGATGGGGAAGATCATTGTGGTAAATTATAATCTTTTAATCCAGATATTTAAGAGTAAAGTCATTAAATGAGACCGAATATTGAGCCACATTCACTTAACTCCATTGACAGAAATGGAGCCATATATTTTTTATTTTAATTTAAAAGTTTTTCCAATCCCTAATATATAATTTTTAAGCAATATGAGTGTGAAAATAATACAGAAGTGGAGGCTGCAGAGCCACATGACTTAGTCACTTCACACCCAACACAAGCGTGCACATTTTTCTTCTTATTTATGGGTGAGTGAACCACTCTCTGTGTTCAGTTTACCCACCTGGGATTTGAGAGATTACTTTTTTTTTTTTAAGTTTTTGTTTGTTTGTTTGTTTTTGAGAGAGAGAGAGAGACAGCATAAGCAGGGGAGGGACGGGAGGACTGGCGGGTTCCCAAGCAGGCTCTGCACCACTGTCAATGCAGAGCCTGATGTGGAGCTCAAACTCACTAATTGTGAGATCACGACTGAGCCACGCAGGTGCCCCGAGAGATTACTTTCAAGAGCAATGAAATTACTCCCACTGAGCAAGTGCAAAACAAAAACTGTTTTCTAAAAGTTTATTTTAGTGTCTAGAGTAGCTGAAATTTCAGGAAAGTCTAACCACGCTTTGCCAGGAGCTCTGACTTTCTCCTCCTTTATCTTCTGAGGCGTTACTCCTATCCATGACCTTGAAGGACTTTTTGACATGTTGGATATGACCTTGTGATTGAGGCAAGGAAAATGTACCCTGGAAAAGACAAAGTTTATTGGTAGTTTTTAAACTCTGATTTTGGAAGCTTTCTTTGATCCATATTTAGAATGCATTTCCCCCAAATGTACAATAGTAGCCTTTCCAACTTTACCAAAATATAGAATTGCATCAATATTTGTTCAAACAAATACCATTCTTTGATCTGCTAATCACATTACCATTTACTAATAAGTTCATAATTGAATCATGATGTATTCCATCCCCTTAAATAATTTTTTTTAAAAATATGTCTTTTAGAGGAAAGAGTATTTTTAAATTATATGTAAGCAGTATTTTAATTTTTTTTAATGTTTTTTATTTATTTCTGGGAGAGAGAGAAAGAGACAGTGTGAGCAGGGGAGGGTCAGAGAGAGAGGGAGTCACAGACTCTGAAACAGGCTCCAGGCTCTGAGCTGGCAGTCAGCACAGAGCCCGACGCGGGGCTCGAACCCACGAACCGCGAGATCATGACCTAAGCGAAAGTCGGACGCTTAACCGACTAAGCCACCCAGGCGCCCTGTAAGCAGTATTTTAAAATTGTAATGTCATGCCCTAAGAAGAAGCAGGGAAGAACACAGGAAAGCATAAACAGCACAGAAAAGCCCTAGCAAGACCTTACTGCCTTAGCAAGGGAATGGGGCCATGGAGACTCGAGGGAGGCAGGTGGCTGTGTTCACTACAGAGTGGGGAGATGCAGGCTTTCATTCTCAGCCCATCAGCTACATCATTCTTCTTGTGATTTTTTCTGAGCCTTGGTTCTTTTCTAAGGGGTTGGGACAGGCGATTTCTTTTTTTATTTTTAAGCTTATTTATTTTGAAAGAGAGAGTACAAGTGGGGAGGGGGCAGAGAGGGAGAGAGAATCCCAAGCAGGCTCTGCACCACCAGGGCAGAGCCTGATGTGGGGCTCGATCTCATGAACCACAAGATCATGATCCCAGCCGCAGTTGGACGCTTAACCAACTGAGCCACTCAGGCACCCCTGAGGCAGATGATTTCTTTTCTTTTCTTTTCTTTTCTTTTCTTTTCTTTTCTTTTCTTTTCCTTTCCTTTCCTTTCCTTTCCTTTCCTTTCCTTTCCTTTCCTTTCCTTTTCTTATTTTTTAAAATGTTTTATTTATTTCTGAGAGAGAGAGACAGCGAGAAAGGGAGATACAGAATCTGAAGCAGGCTCTAGGCTCTGAGCTAGCTATCACCACAGAGCCCCATTGCAGGGCTCAAACCCACGAACCGTGAGATCATGACCTGAGCTGAGTCGGATGCTTAATCGACTGAGCCACCCAAGCACCCCAGGGGCAGGTGATTTCTAAAGCTATTCTAGCCATTCTAGTAAACAGTTCTTATGGTTTGCGGGCCAGAAGGCACTAACTAATAATCTCAGATACCAATGTCATCATGAAGGAGCCCATTCACAGAGCTGTCTCCTCACTGTGAAAGTTGACTGCTACATGGACCTTATTGCCTCCTCTTGCTGACCAGAAACATCACAGCTCAAATGTTGGGACCCAGAAAGTGGCATGTGACGTGTCAGACTACTCACTCCTGGGTTCTAGGAGTACATCTGTTCCCACCAAAGGATGGAAGCGTATGTAGCCTTTAAGAGTTCCAGCACAGTGAAAATGAGCATCACCACCTGTGAATCAAGCACCACCTGTGAATCAAGCACCCCCTGTGAATCAAGACAGGAAAGGTTGATGCCGTAAGCTAGCCCTGTGCCTGACTCAGGGGAGACTGGGGGTGAAGGCTTTAGCCGTGGAGAAAATAAGGGACAGAAAGAAATAAACAACAACAGTTTCATCTCAGAGCCGAGATATCCCACATTCTGAGATGAGAGTAACCCTTCCTTCATCACTAGTTGTTTGTTTTTACTGTTACACGATATTTCTCATGTGGGCTTGATTTATTTCTCCAGAAACAGTCTCGGTTCATTCCTTCCATCTGAAATCTCTTATCTTTTTTTTTTTTTAATTCTGAAATTTTCCCAGTTTTTTCTCTTTGCATACTTCCTATCTCCCTGGCTTTCTTACGGGAGCTCATGTTAGGTGTATGCTGGTTCTTTTCAGTTCACTGTTTACCCTCTGGCTGTTAACGTGTCACTCATATTTTTCAGATTTTTACCGCAATGTGTCATGCTGTGTGTGATTTAATCAGGCCTCAATTTCATTTCACTGTTCATTTCTTCAGATACGTTGAATCTCCTATTTAACTGATAATGCTAAATTGTTCATTTCAAAGATTACAATTTGCATTTCTAATCATACTGTTTAGTTCTTTTTCAAATCTACTTGCTCTTTTTTCTTCCTGTCATGTTATCCCATGTGGGGTTTAATTGAAAACATATTTTCATTATGGTCTTCCGAATTAGTATATAGCCTCCAATTCTTGAGGAACTAACTTTCATATTTGCTGCTGTTCCCCATTTTGTCTTAGGTTTTTCGAAATATTTTTCCTCTCAGATGATGTCAGTATATGTGTGAGTGGGGGAAGATTTTTGGTATGTAGGACCCAGACTCATAAGTTGGGTTTATGGATGACTCCCTAGATGGAAACTTTAGGTTTGGTTTTGACAGAACCTCAGGAGATCCACAGACCCAGGAACAGTTTTTAAGTTAATCCTGGTATTTGAGGTTCATTTATTTTCTGTATAATTTTGGGTTTGGATACCACCCATACCCGCACATGGCTTGGTAAGATGATTTCATCCTAGAAACCTTTATGGTAGAGTTTCTTTAAGCTTCTTGGGATGTTGGGCAGTTTCCCTTGTCTTATTTTTTTTTTTAAATATAGTTTACTGTCAAGTTGGTGTCCATATAACAGCCAGTGCTCATCCCAACAAGTGCCCTCCTCCATGCCCATCACCCATTTTCCCCTCTCCCCCACCCCTCATCAACCCTCAGTTTGTTCTCAGTATTTAAGAGTCTCTTTATGGTTTGCCTCTCTCTGTGTAACTGCTTTTTTCCCCTTCCCCTCCCCGATGGTCTTCTTTTCAGTTTCTCCTGATCCACATATGAGTGAAAACATATGGTATAAGAGCTAGTATCCAAAATCTACAAAGAACTCACCAAACTCCACACCCAAAAAAAATAATCCAGTGAAGAAATGGGCAGAAGACATGAACAGACACTTCTCCAGAGAAGACATCCACATGGCAAACAGACACAGGAAATGATGCTCAGCATCCCTCCTTGTCTTGTTTTCATAAGTAGGGTGAATATTCAGTCTGTTTCTAACGTTTTCTTACGACACTCAGGGTGGACCTGAAGCATTTCAGATTTGCCATGGACATTAAAATGTCATTATCCCAGCTTCTAACAGCTGTGTTCCCATCCAGGCATCCCTGGTTTTCTGATCTCAGCTCTTATTTGGTTCCCTGGCTGCAGGATCCTTCTTAGCTCCTGACCTTATGATGCCTTTCTTCCTTGATCTTCTTCCTTCCACCCTCTCTTCCTTCCTTCTTCCAACCTCAGATACATATATTTTAAGTGTCTCAATGTGTTACTTTGTTTGTGTTATCGTTGTGTTAATAAAGAGTGGATGTTTGGAGTCAAGTCTTCTTATAACTTCTCTGATTTTGCAGGAAGTTCTCTGGTTGTCTGAGAGGAGGAATCAGTTTGACGTATTAAGTTTTGTTTTTATTGAGTTAAGCCCCCCGTGCCCCAGCAGGGAGGATGTCTCCCTCACCCTCCTGGCTTTGCCTGATGTCTGCCCTGCACCAGGCTTATGCTATCTCCTGGGCTTCCTCGCACTGATTTCTAACCAGATGCATTTCTGGGCCCTTTCACTTCCTCAAGCTCCCGCATCAAAGGGGTTGCTTTTGGCAACCTCTGGGTCACATGGGCAGACTCACAGAAGTCTGTGAGTCTGGAAACTTGCACATGTGTCTGAGATTCATGAGCTAGATCCAAGAGATTGCATCTGTCTCCCCGGCTTCTGGAGTCCAAAGGAAGAAATTTTGCTCCTTAAAAGGCCAAAGTTTATGGTTTTAAAACTATGAGCCTGTATACAGAGGATTGACGAAGCCAGGATTTTTATCATCAACGGATGGTAACCATCCAGTGTGTGGGGGAAAGTGGCAAGAAAATGCTTGCCCAGAGATGTTGGCATTTCTTCTAGGAGTTGAATCCACTGGTGGTTCGCCCCCCACCCCCTTCTCACTCTGCCAGCTCTGGGCCAAAGTATAATTATGTGTTTGGGCTTTAAAAGTCTTTATTCTGTAGCTAAATTAATGAGGATAAAACTAAAATAAAGAGGGATATTTCTGCCTGCGTCGAGGGGGAGAAAAATGCCTTTACAACAAAGGAGGCACTCTGAGAGCTAAACCTATTGAGAATGGAATATTTTCTATGTAAGACAGACTGCTGACCTTATCTTCTTTATCCACTTATCCAACCTAAGTGGACACTTAGGTTGCTTCCATAAACATGCTGCAATAAACACAGGGGTGCATATATCTTTTCAAACTAGCATTTTTGTTTTTCTTTGAGTCAATTCCCAGGAGTGGAATTACTGGATCATACAGTATTTTTATTTTTAATTTTTTGAGGGCCTTCCATACTGTTGACTACAGTGGCTGCACCATAATACATTCCCACCAACAGTGCATGAGGTTTCCTGTTTCTCCACATCTTCTCCAACACTAGTATCTTTTTGATACTAGTCATTCTGACAGGTGTGAAGTAATATCTCATTGTGGGTTTGGTTTGCATCTCCCTGCTGGTTAGTGAGGTTGAGCATCTTTTCATGTGTGTGTCGGCCATCTGTATGTCATATGTGGGAAAATATCTATTCTTCAAGTCCTCTGCCCATTTTTAATTGGATTATTTGTCTTATTAGTGTTGGGTTATAGAAGTTTTTATATATTTAGGATATTAACCCCTCATAGGATTTATCACTTACAAATATCTTCTCCCAGTCAGTAGGTTGCCTTTTCTTTTTGTTTATGTTTTCCTTTGATGTGCAGAAGCTTTTTATTCTGGTGTAGCCCCAATAGTTTATTTTTGCTAATTTCTCTTGCTGGAGGAGACATATCTAGAACCCGTAGCCCTTCTTGATTTCCTTTTTTGACTTGGCACAATGCATCCTCTATATTTTGCAGTATGCTGACCAGACTCAACCACAGTTTCTGTGTGTGTGTGTGTGTGTGTGTGTGTGTGTGTGTATTTTTGTCTACTTCCAGCCAATCAGATCCAACAGGGCACAGACTGCTGAAAAAGCAGAGATTATGCAAAGGAAAGAAACTGATATTTCACAGGCAAGATATTCAGTCTGAAACTACTTATCGTCAGATTGACACTAGCCAGCAGACAGTCTTTGAATTCATAAATTGAATAATAGTACCCTGAATAAGGCAATGAGGATGGAGATTCCCTTTCTGAGTCACACTGTCAAGAGGCAGTCTCCAAGGCTACCAGGCCATCAGCAAGAAGGAAGAGGCCTCCTCCAGTAGTGAGAGAACTCATCGCGCTTGTGGTCAGGCTGCTCATGGCCTGAAAAAGAGAATTTGCATTGGGATCTCACAACGGGAGCAGCACGTGATACTGTTAGCCATCATTCATTGCTCCACAACGTTGCTTCCCTGAGTCTGTTTCCCTTCTAATCTGTGTACTCGTAGGGGGCACAGACTGTGTTTTATTCATCTCTGTATCCCTCTTCACTATCTAGTTTTTCACCTGATATAATTAGTAAATGTTTGTTGAGTGAGAGAATGCATGAATAATTCCTCCTCTGGTATAGGGGTTCTGGATCCTTGGCTGTCTGTACCACCGGAAACAGAGATGGCACTGTTGACTTCCTCAACTGCCTTAGAGTCTTCTATTGCTTTAAGCCCTTCTAGAATATGGCCTTAGGTCCCTCCTAGACCCATCTGTGGTGTTTATTTCTATAAAAGAGAGACTTGGAGAACCTAGAATACCTAACGATAGGTGGATCAGGCCCAAGAACCATGTTCACCACATTCTGATTTGGGTCTTAGTCTACATTTTAGGTTCTCACAGAATATGATTCCTCTGCAAAGGCACTGATGTGCCAGACTCTGTGCCAGGTTCCCGGCACATGCTTATTTCTATTTGAACATCATTCAAGGATATTGTGTGTTGGGAGGGTGATTGCTCTGCCCCCTTCTTCTCCCTTGGCCAGGTAGCTGTGTGGCTTCAAGTGCTGAGTTACCAAAGGAAGAGCCGATGGAATGGACAGTGCCTTTGCCCAGAGCTGCCACATGCACAATGGAGTCCACACATTGTCTTGTGTCCTATGTGTGGAGCCACATTGTGCTGAGTCATCCCAAGGATTGTTTTCCCTTGGGTACTCAGGACCCTTGGGAAGCCACCTGTGAGAGCCACATGTTCATCTTCCACATTTTACAAATAAGTTTATCTGAAGCTCAGATAAGGAAGGAATTTTTTCAAGCACACATGTGGGTCAGTGACAGATCTGGGACAAGAGTTACCTGGTTATGACTCATTCCAATGGAATGAACTCTGTCCACTGGTTCTGGGGTTTAGATTCTAGCTTCAAGAATGAGAAGCATATATCAGCCTCATACACCCATCTTATATGCCCTCAACCATAGTTAACTAGACCTTGGATCTTCCTGAGTCAGGATGTGGCTTTTCCCTAAGTCATCTTTGTGAGTACGTGGCAAGGGAGAGGGAAAGGTTACCATGAAGAGAGTCAAAGATCCCACCCACACACTCCTGACTTTTTTCAAGAAAGTGGCTACAGTCTGTTAATCCCTTGTTTCTGAGGGGGTGAAGGAGCTAGCCACAGGATCTAAGCCCACACACCTCTGCCTCTGACCTTGCCACTTAAGGAAATTGGCTCATTCTGAGACAGGTTTTTCCAGAAAAGGAAGTCTAGGTTCTAGATGGTCATCTACCCTATTCAGGGACAAGATAACAAACTGTAGACTCCATGATTTATTTAAAATTGTCTACCATTTAAGCAACTGAAGTAAACCTTGAAATATGACCCAGGAGTACATTGCATAGGGGAAGAGTACTGGTCTAGGAAACAAGGAATTTGTTGTTTACACCCAGTTCTACCAGTGCACCAGCAGTGAGAATTTTCTCCCCTTCTCAGGGTCCTACTCCCCTAAACTGTCAAATGGAAACTTTGAACTAGAATTATTGCCTCTGAAGTTCCTTTTATTCCAATGAGCTGAAATTTGATGGTGCTCATACTTACAAAGGGCCTAGTTGACTTTTTCCCAGAAATGATTGAGAGGAATCCAGTAATGGCAAACTGCTCAGAGAAGAGAGACATGATCAGTTCAATTGTCTTGTGGAAATGTGGCCACCATGTTATTATCAATCAGTGAGTAAGTAATGTAAAGCTTTTAGAGAGATAACACTGTAGGGGTGGTGTGGGTCCAGATAAAGAGAGAGGCCTTATTTCTACTCTCAGGATGCTTAACATTGACTTTGGAGAATGGGAAGCTGCATAGAGGATCTGGATTTATGTTAGTGAAAACCACCATGAGCTGAGGTGGCCTGGAGAAGAGGTGTACACAGAAGGAGGAGAGCAGTGTGCTAAGTTACAAGGTGGGAAGAGAGGAGGTTGAGGAAGACCAATGACTTGAAGGGATATGAAGGTGGGAGCAGCCAACAGTGGCACTTAAGAAAGAGGCTCTGATGACATAAGGTACAGAGACATGTGGGCTTCAAGCATCGGTGTAGGAGGCCTGAGTTAGACTGGGAGTTGAGGAAAGTGGGGAGTACAGGGTGGGGTGTGAAGGCCCAGAAGTCAGTATTTTTTTAAGCTTATTTACTTTGAGAGAGAGAGAGAGTTGGGAGGGGTGGAGAGAGAGAGAGAGAGAGAGAGAGAGAGAATCCCAAGCAGGTTCTACACTCAGCACAGAGCCCAGTGAGGGGCTCAATTCCATGAACCATGAGATCGTGACCTGAACTAAAATAAAAAGTTGGACGTTTAACCAATTGAGCCACTGAAGTGCCCCTAAAAGTCAGTATTTGATCCCAGTAGTGTAAGGATCCAGCTGGTGGAGGGAGAATGTTCTGAGAGACTGAAACATTGGTTAAGCTGTGCCTTAGCGATTGGGTAGTCACAGACAAAGAAGGTCAGCATGAGCTGTTTCTGCCTTTCATAAGGGAATGTGAGAGCTCAACTACTGATAAGGTAGAGAAGTAAGGATAGATTATGCGCTGGAGGCAGGAGCAGGGCTTCCTTGCATCATTGCATAGTTTGTGTTCACATAAAGGCTATATCCATACAGTGGTGATGCCCTGATAGAATTCATCTGCCCAGAATGTGTGATTTTTTTCCTCCTTTGTGTAAGATACTACTTGGAAAAGAAGTGGCCCTTTGTGGGAGGCATGACTAGACCCTGGCTAATCTCCAAAGAAAAGGACCTTTCTCCATGAGCAATTAGATGGAAAGCAGCAAAAATGTTTTCCAAGTTGTCAGGGCTACTTCTGAACACATACCAAGAGTGTCCTTGCTTCCCATGAATTTTACCATTGCCGGTTTAATTCTCTGCAAACCTGTGGCATCTACCTGTGGTGCTCATTTTATTTTAAAAATGATCTTTTCACTCTACCTGATAGATGGATTATTCTTACACTGGAAGGAATGCAGTGGCCTCATCAAGGCCCAAAGAAGAATGTGAAAAGTCTTCCACTTTTCCAGAGGTAGGCTGTGAGGCCAGCTAAGAAATGTTGTGCCAGGATGCCCACTGTATTACCATCTTGCTCCTGCCTTGACCAGGTACTCCCTGGGATGCTGACACAGGAGGAGAGATTAAGCCCCTCTGCTGCTCTTTCTGAATTGGAGAAACATGACATGGGGTGATGACAGAGGGAAAGTCAGAGACCTTGGCCACCTTCTTCTCTCTCCCCACCTCTTGGGACTGAGTCACTCCATGACTTAGTACCTACTTAGCATTTAAAGAGCATATCCTTTCTTGGAGACCCCATTCTACTCACACACAGAGCTCCTACTAATGGGTACCCAGACATCAAAATAGTGAAAAGTGTTGGCTTGAACTGGGAAGAGTAAGGAGCAGAAACCAAAATTGCCCCCAAACTTGACATCAACAGGCAACACAAGATCTGGATAATCTACAAGAGACAAGAACGGAAATGCTAGGAACATACCTTGAACAGATGAAAGTGATTATTTGAAAGTACACTGTGTTTTATAAGGAATATAAAATATGCTATAATTTGTCATATTAAAAAGGAGGAAAAAAAGTATAACAAGGAGCCAGTAAGCATTTTCTATGAGAAACTAATGTATACCAAACTTCTTCCTTTCTGATAGGGTTATTAAACTAGAAAATCAGGAAGTGATCATATGCACTTTTTAACTTTATTTTGAAAAAGATAGTTGACATTTTTTGTTGTTGTTGTTCTAGGAAAAGTATGTGGAGAAAATTGTTCTGGACAGTAGTCCAGTTAGATGGATGTAGAAAGCAAACTTACCAAGGGAGAGTTAATGCTCAATTTCAATTGAAATAAAATAGAGCCATAATTTATCTTATCTTCTTCATCACTGAATTTTGTTAATAATGACTATTTTTATGACACCAATGATAATAGTCTATATTTGTTGAACACTTTCTACACTCTGGTTATTTATCTCATCTTGTTTATGGATGAGAAAAACAAGGCACTGGGAGTGAAAATAGCTTGTACAAACCCACACAAATGGCTAAGTGGAGGAACTAGGACTTAGCCCCTTTACTTTGATCTAGAATCCACACTCTTACCCACTGTTTAATGCATATGCAACTGAAAGACAGTACAAAAACATAGGAGAAATAACTTATAGTCAAGAGAATTAAACCATTCATACAATTAATATTTATTGAATATTTATCCTAGGCCAGCACCAGGGAATGAAGCAAATAAAAGTCACTGCCACTGGCCATGTATTATGTCCTTTACAGATACATTCCTTGGAAAGTAGAATGAGTTAGGAGCAAAGCAGTAGGAGGTCCGAGAAGTACTGGGGAGAGAGTGCAAGCCATGTAGGGCTTTGTAGGCTATTTTATCAACTTTGCCTTTCATTTTGAGTAAAAAGGGAAGTGAAATGGATAATTTTGATAAAGAGACTTCTATTTTTAAAAGATCATTCTACCTGCTGTGTTGAGAATAGCTTATAAGGAAACAGAGCAGGGACATCAGTAAGAAGGGTGTTGTAGTAATTCACAGGTGAGATGATGTTGACCCGAAAAAGATGTTCATAGTGGAGGTAGTAAGAAGTAATTGGATTCTAGTAGCACTATGAAGATTAAACCTGTAAGATTTGCTGACAGTTTGAATGTGGATTATAAAAGAAAGGAATGAAGATTGCTTCCAAGGGTTTTGGCTTGTGCATCTGAAATGATGGAGCTGACATTTATCTGAGATGGGGAATGTTGTAGGAGGGGTGGGTTTGGGGACAAAGATGAGGATTTCAGTCTGGGACAGGTTGGGGGAGAGATGTAGATGTCCAAGTGGATACATGAGTCTTAAGTTTAGAAGAGAGAGCCACATAAGGGAAATAATATTTTTTTTCCCCAAGTCCTAAGTGAAGATCATATTTAAAACTATATTCCTGTCTGGGTTTGTCACTGCGGCAGATATAGCAACAAATGGGATCAAGGATTGACCTATGGAGCACTCCAAATTTAGGATCAGATAAATAAATAGAAGCAATAAAGGAGTATAAAAGAAGCATCCAAGAGGGAAGGAGGAACACCAGAAGAATGTGATGTCCAAGAAGCCATATGATTAAAATGTTTCAAGTAGGAGAGGCTAGTCAACTGCGTCGAACACTTCTATTAGTTCAAGAGCATTAACAGTGGAGACCTAGAAATTGGGTTACCAACATGGAGCAAAGGGGACAAATCCCATTGAATGTGTTTTAAGAAAGAATATTATTCAAGAGGAACAGGAAACATTGACTTCCTACTTCATAAAGGAATGTTGCTGAGAAGGCAAGTTGCCAGTGAGGCATTAGCTGGAGGGCATGTGAAGTTAAAAGTATCTTGTTTCTGCCCTTTCGTTCTCAAGATAGGAGACATTGCGTAAGATTCTGTGCTCATGGAACTGATAATAAAACATTTGCAGAGAGAATGGGGAAAATTACTGGAACAAGTGATAAGAGAATGGAATCATTAATCATTAAGGCACAAAGGAGGGTCATCATTAATTAGAAGATGGGCATTTTGTTAGTAATGGGCAGGGGAGAGGGAATATATGGCACAGTCGGGAGTAATTGCAGATGTGTGGCAGCTTGTGGACATTCTCTCCAGATTCCCTCAATTTTCTTAGTATTTTAGGAAGCAGGATAATCAATGGAGAAGTATTGAAACCTTTCTAAATAGTTTTCTGGGGTAGCAGGAAAGTGAATGGATGAAGGTAATACCATGTTTTTTTCAAGCAACGTTTATAGTCCATTTGAGCTTATGGTCATAAATCCAAAGTGGAGTCCATGTGTGTGTTTGCAGCCAAGGTTAGTTGCATGGGTTCAGGTGCAGAATAGGCAAAGGGGCAGAGTTAGAATTAAATCAATGTAGTAGCTTTCCCTGAAGATTATGCCATAAGGGGGACAAAGCTGGTCATTGTGGTTAGGTGAGGAAGACTCCATGAAATAGGGATATTATCAGTAACTCTCAGTGAGGTTAGAGAAAGTGAGAGTCAACATAGAGTCAGAGGGACTGATCAGGAAAGAGCAGAGTTGGTGGACTGTGGGATGCTTCAAATGTAGATAATGGTGGGTTTATTGCTGGTAGTATTGTTAAGGTCCAGGGTACAACTCAGGGAATGTCTGTCTAAGGGAGGAAGGGCAAGATACCTGGGGAGAAGAGGTCATGATATTGGAGGGATTATATACATGAGTATTGAAATAGCCAAGACTTATAATAGGACTTCTACCCTGGGAGTGATAGTGATTGAGGAGTCAGCAAAAAAGAGAGCAAAAAAGGGGTAATGATTTAGAATCCTTCTGTAGAGCAAGAGAAATGTGACAATGGGGCTCTGTTTTTTTTTCTTCTTTTAACTGTATAGTTCATCTATTATCTTAAGTGTGTAAAATAGTGTCTGGCACAATAAAGGTGCTCAAAAAATGACAGCTGAGTGTATAAATGAATAAATGCATTTCCGGTATCTCTTATTGGTTGCTGAAGCACACAGTGAAATGTGTTTGTGATTCTAGGCCGTAGGTAGGCTAGATTTTAGGGAGCAGCACAGATCTACACAGAACCAGTTGTTTGGAAGAAGTAAATTAAGGAGTGAGTATTGGTAAATGCTGGTAGAATGACAGACATTACTTGGTTTTTATTTCCAAGCAACATAGTCATTAAACCATTTTTCTAAGGATGGTAACTTTTTAAAATTGCCGGTACATCATTTAATGTTATTTTCTAAAACGCTGATTCATTTTAGGTGTTTACATGAAACTCATTCTTCTAAAATTTTAATTTTCCTATCAATTCTCGATTATTCCTAATATTAGAATTACCTAAAAGAACTTTTGAAGTTCATGACTGTTAACAATTGCTTGAAATAATTATTTGTTTCCAGTGCTCAAAATATAGGTAACGTTTTTAAAAAGATCTCTTTTGGGGAGAAGACTGAAGTAGGTCTTCAGATAATACATAAAAAGGGTAACTATGTTTTTTTTTCTTTTTTAAGTGGGATACATAGTTGGATGACATGAGATTTTTTTTAAAGTTTATTTATTTATCTTGAGAGAAAGAGAGATCATAGGCTGGGAAGGGGCAGAGAGGAGGAGACTCCCAAGCAGGCCATCAGCGCAGAGCCTAATGCGGGGTTTAAACTCACATACTGTGAGATCACGACCTGAGCTGAGATCAAGAGTCAAACACTTGACCGATTGTGCCACCCAGGCACCCCTGGATGACATGAGATTCTAAAGACACTGAGAGGAGAGGATTGATCTAGAAGTGCCCCTGAGAAGCAAAGAAGAGACTGCCTTCACTTCCGTGCCCAGAAGAGAGGGTCACAGTGGAAACAGTGTCATTGGGAGCTAGGTTTCTGTTTGCATGATCGATGAGGAAGCCTTTGAGAAACAAATCCGGGAATGAAGAGGAGCATGCTGTTAACTGACCCTGAATTCCAGAGGACACAACCAGGCAGGGTTCCAAAGTCGGAAATGAATAAGAGTTGGGTCTTAAAAGGGGATATTCAGAACCAGGTGGACATTAAAGGCCTGAGTATGAAGGAGGATGACCGGGACATTGAATGTCTTACAGTGAGACGAACAGGGAGAAAATGTATGGTGAGGTCAGTCCAGATTGTCTCATCTCAAAATGGTTAAGAAAGGAGCTCAAAATAGATGGATCTAATTTAATCATGTTGATTAAAATCATGTGGTTAAACCAAAACTCTACTACATTAAAGACAAATTACAAGGGACTTTCTTGTGTAGATGTCAAGTGGAGACCTAGTGGTTTTAGTTTACAGAAAGGCCTGAGGAGGACACATTCTTCCCATAAAGCCCCATTTCATGGCCCAGTTGGCCTGGAGGCAGAGAAAGAAATGAGAGGCTCTCCCAGATCCACTCTAGATCTGTGGTGTGGGTATGTGCACAGTACTTCTCCTAGGGTTCCCCTTCCAGTGACATGGACTTACTCCAAGGACTGTAGCTTCTTTTCTCAGATTGTTCGGGGGGTTGTCTTCTTTTTGGTAGCTGTGTTTAGATTTCTCTCTTTGGGGGATGATGATGCCATTTGGAGTAAAGCTGTCAAAGGTTCCCTTGGTCTTGGGCTGTGATAGCATGATCCTGACAATGCTGGAAGAGGCAGTGAGCTCAGTTAGGACCCAAGGTTCAGTTTAAAGATATGAAACCATCTAAGATTTTTCTCCATTGTCGAAAGCATGGCCTGTCCTTTAGGAACAAAACTGAATGTGGGGAGCAGTAGAAACATTGGAAAGCTAGTGTGCTTGGCACAATGCATCTGTTGTGGACAGGAAGCATGTCACTGGAAGAAAACTGTAAACATTTAGAGGAGCCCTGCAGTTGAGAGATGAACCATTCATATAGAATTTTCCTTGCAGCCTTGAGTGGATCCACCACTCTGGTCTTCCAACAGCCCCTGCTTCCATAGCCTCCCTCTTGTACCCGTGTACCTCTGCTTCCCCTGTGCCGCACTCCCACACCACACAGCCCAGGGTTGTACTTTTATGCTGCACCTTTACTGCTCAGTACTGAGCACCCACTGTGAGTCTGGAGCTGCAGTAAGAGCTTTGCATGAAGATAGGTGTTATTGTTAGTTGAATTCTACAGAGAAGAATATGAGGCTTAGATTTTCCTCTATGGTCAGAAACAAGACAGGGATGTCCACTCTCCCCACTGTTATTTAACCTAGTCCTAAAAGTCCCTACCACAGCTATCAGACAACAAAAAGAAATAAAAGGCATCCAAATCAACAAGGAAGAAGTCAGACTTTCACTATATGCAGATGACATGATACTTTGTATAGAAGATCTGAAAGACTCCACCAGAAGACTGCTAGAACTGACACATGAATTTAGTAAAGTTGCAGGATACAAAATCAACATACCAAAATCTGTTGTATTTCTGTACATCAATAATAAAAGCAGGAGAAAGAGAAATCAAGGCATCAACCCCATTTACAGTTGCACCAAAAACTATAAGATACCTAGGAATAAACCTAACCAAATGATTAAAAGACCTGTACTCTGAAAACTATAAAAAAAGAAATTGAACATGACACAAAGAAATGGAAACACATTCCATGCTCATGGATTGGAAGAACAAATATTGTTCGTATTATTAAAATGTCTACAATACCCAGAGAAATTTACACATTTAATGCAATCCCTATCAAAATGTTAACATTTTTCACAGAGCTAGAACAACAATCCTAAAATTTATATGGAGTCCCAAAAGGCCCCAAACAGCCAAAGCAATCTTGAAAAAGAAAAGGAACATGGGAGGAATCACAATTCTAGACTTCAACTTATATTACAAAGCTGTAATGATCAAGACAATATGGTACTGGCACAAAAGTAGACATATAAATCAGTAGAATAGAATAGAAAACCCAGAAGTGAACCCACAACTGTATGGCCAATTAATCTTCAACCTTGCAGGAAAGAATATCCAGTGGAAAAAAAGACAGTCCCTTCAACAAATGGTATTGGGAAGACTGGACAGCAACATGCAAAAGAATGAAACCGGACCACTTTCTTTCATTGTACACAAAAATAAATTCAAAATGGATTAAAGACCTAAATTTGAGATAGGAAACCATTAAAATTCTAGAGGAGAACATGGGCAGTAACCTTTTTGACATTAGTAGCAGCTTCTTACTAGATATGTCCCCTGAGACAAGGGGGAAAGGCAAAAATAAACTATTGGGACTTCATCAAAATAAAAAGCTTCTGTATAGTGAAGCTCTCATCCCCATGGGATGGGAAAAGATCATTGCAAATGATAACCTGATAAAGAGTTAGAATCCAAAATATATAAAGAACCTGTAAAAAAACTCAATACCCAAAAACCAAATAATCCAGTTTAAAAATGGGCAGAGGACATGAATATTGTTCCAGAGAAGACATACAGATGGTCAACATCACTGATCATCAGGGAAATGCAAATCAAAACTACAATGGGATATCACCTCATATCATACCAGTCAGAATGGCTAAAATTAACAGCAGAGGAAACAACAGGTGTTGGCAAGGATGTGGAGAAAGGGGAACCCTTTTACACTGTTGGTGGGAATGCAAACTGGTGGAGGCACTGTGGAAGACAATATGGAGGTTCCCCAAAAAGTTAAAAACAGAGGGACACCTGGGTGGCTCAGTCAGTTAAGTGTCCAACTTCAGTTCAGGCCACGATCTCATGGTTTGTGTTTTGAGCCCTGAGTTGGGCTCTGTGCTGACAGCTCAGAGCCTGGAGCCTGCTTCACATTCTGTCTCACTGTCTCTGCTCCTTGCCTGCTCACGTTCTGTCTTTCTCTGTCTTTCAAAAATAAATAAATGTTAAAAAAGTTAAAAATAGGGCTACCCTACTACTCAGTAATTGCACTACTAGGTATTTACTGAAAGGATACAGAAATACTTATTCAAAGGGATACATGAACCTGGATGTTTATAGCAGCATTATCAACAATAGCCAAATTATGGAAAAAGCCCAAATGTCCATAACTGTTGAATGCATAAAGAAGATATGGCGCGCGCACGCGCGCACACACACACCCCCCTGGGATATTACTAAGCCACCAAAAAGAATGAAATCTTGCCATTTACAGTGTCATCAATTTTTGTTAAGCAAAATAAGTCAGAGAAAGACAAATACCATATGGTTTTACTTATATGGAATTTAAGAAACAAAACAAATGAACATAGGAAGGGAAAAAGAGAGGAACACCAAGAAACAGACTCTTTTTTTTTTTTAAATTTATTTCTAGGAGAGAGAGAGAGAGACAGCGTGAGCAGGGGAAGGTCAGAGAGAGAGGGAGTCACAGACTCTGAAACAGGCTCCAGGCTCTGAGCTGGCAGTCAGCACAGAGCCCGACGCGGGGCTCAAACCCACGAACCGCAAGATCATGACCTAAGCGAAAGTCAGACGCTTAACCGACTAAGCCACCCAGGCGCCCCAACAGACTCTTGACCATAGAGAACAAACTGATGGTTACCAGAGGAGAGGTGGGTAAGGTGGGTTACATAGGTGATGGTTATTAAGGAGGGCACTTAGAGTGAGCACCGGGTGGTGTATCTAAGTGTTCAATCACTAAATGCTAAACCTGAAACTAATATTATACTGTATGTCAATTAACCAGAATTTAAATTTTAAAAAAAGACAGTGAGGCTTAGAGAGAGTAAATAGTTTGCACAGCATTGCATATCTAGCATATGATGGAGACAAGATTTGAACCCCAGGCATTGTAATGCCATGGCTCTTCTATATCCCTGGTGGGTGTGGTGCGCCCATCTAGCCACACGTGATGCTCAGCCCCTCTGTCCTCCCTTCCTCATAGCTGAGGTCCATTGGCTACCCTTCTCCGTATTCACCCACAGGAGCACTTCTGACCTTGGTGATTTGTTCCCATATTCTGGGAACTTGACTTCTGCTGCACTCCTGTGGTTTGCTAGCCCAGATCTGCTCAGTAGACCCTCTCCTATTTCTAGTCATCATCCCCAGTCTGTCAGGGTTCATCCACACTGTCACAAACTTCAGAATGTCCTCCTTTGTCAAGCTGACCATGAGGACACTGTGCTAAATGGAACAAGCTAGTCGCAGAAGGACAGGTACCGCGTGACTGAATTTATACAAGATATCTAAAATAGACTCACAGAGGCAAAGACTGGAATGGCGGTTGCCAGGTTCTGAGGGAGAAGGAAATGGAGGGTTGCTATACAATGTATAGAATTTCAGTTGTGCAAGAGTCGTTCTAAAGATCCGCTGTACAGCACCAGGGCTTTAGTAGACATACTGTACTGTGCACTTAGAAGTCTGTCAGAGGGTAGATCTCATGTGAAGTGTTCTTACCACAAGAAAAAAAACTAAAAGAATAAAAAGAAAGAAAGAAAGAGAGAGAGAGAGAGAGAGAGAGAGAAAGAAAGAAAGAAAGAAAGAAAGAAAGAAAGAAAGAAAGAAAGAAAGAAAGGAAGGAAGAAAGGAAGAAAGGAAGAAAGAAAAAAAAGTCTCTATAGTTCTGGATCTTTTTCCATAGGATTCCGATAGGATTCCTTCCTGTATATTTCATTCCTGACACTCAGGGACTACAGGATCTACTGGGCTCTAGTCCTGAAGCCACGACCTTGATGCCTAGTTGGTACCCTTACATGTTCTTGATACTGTGTCTATTTATTTTCTTTTATTAATTTTTAATTGTTTTGTTGAAAAGAGTGTATCACCTAGTAATTACAATAAAAAAAGGGAATACATTTTGAAGAAAAGGAAGTTCCTTAAATCTCAGCTACTGCACAGCAACTAGCATTTCATACATATCCTTTACAGTTTTTCATTTTCTCCCTCATCTTTCTTTCTGTATGTTTAGACAACATTCATCGTTCTACATAAACAGAGTGGTTCTACCCATGCCATTTGAGAAATCTTTCTGCACTCAACCTTAGTCTGTGGGCATCTCTGACATTCACGCATGCAGATGATAAAAATCCTAAACTTAAAGGCGACCTGGTAAATTCTGATACCTGATTCAGTGTGGATGAACCTTGAAGACAATACTGCTACATGAAGGAAGCCAGTCACAGAAGGACGAATATTGCCCGATTGCACTCCTGGAAAGCACTAAGAATACTCAAATCCATCAAGACAGGAAGTAGAGAGATGGACACCAGTGGCTAGGAGGAGAGGGAAATGAATTAGTGCTCAGTGGACATGATGGGGTTTCCATTTGGGAAGATGAAAAAGTTCTGGAGTTTGGTCATGGGGATGATTGCGTAAGAATGTATATGTACCATACGCCACTGAACTATACCCTTAAAAATGGTTAAAGTGCTAAATCTTGTTATGTATATTTCATCACAATAAAAAAGCCACTGTATTCAAATTAATAGATATTTCAAGATTCATTTAACCAGTTGTGTTATTTAGGTTGTTTCTCCCCCCCCCCCCCCCCCGCTTTTTATTACCGTTGTGAACAATGCTACAGTGAACATCTCTGCACTTTTGTGGTGTCTCGCCTATTCAATCATCTCCTTAGAGTAACATTTAGAAGTGGATGTACTGAGTTTAAGGCTATGATAATGTGTATTGCTGCTTTTTAGAGGGAATTCTGTAGAAC